CACAATTCAAAGGCATCAATTCTTCGACGGTCAGCTTTCTTTACGGTCCAGCTTTCACTTCCATAGGCTGAGGGGAGTTAGATTCCACATTCTCCTCTTTTATTCCATCAAAAATGCTTATGGGAATATTCTAAAACAGCCGTGGTAAGTTTAACTGTGTCAAGAGAACAAAAAAAAAAGTCATGATTACTTACGATAATGCTTCATGTTTTTCTCATATATTTTCCACAAGAAAACCTGTTCTCAAGTATATAATTAGCCTGTTTTTTTTTAGTAGTGCACCATGATGTGTGTGTTTATTTCTGTTATTAGTTCAGAACGGGAATTTAAGCAGTGCTTCAACTGCATTAATTTTTAATAACTATGTGTTATACAATGAGCCTTTGTGTTATTACTGTTGTGGTTCTTTGTACTAAATTTACAGATTGAAAGTTGCTTTCCTTTAACATTTAGCTCACAGTCAAAAACATATTGCCAGAACAGAAAACCCTGTGAGGCAACAAATTGATACAGTGGTGCCTCGACTTATGAACTTAATTGGTTCCGGAACGCTGGTCATAACTCGAAATGGTCATAAATCGAAGCACCATTTCCCATAGGAATGCACTGAAATGCAATTAATCCGTTCTGGCTTAAGAAAAAAAATCACAAAAAAAATCACTGCAAGACTCATCGGAAATGTGATTAATCTGGATGAAGGGGAGAAAAAAAAACAAAAGTGCGAGACCCATTGGAAATGCACAGAAAACAAATGGAGCAGATTGGAAATGTACAGAGAACAGAGGGACAAGGTCAGAAATGCACAGAAAACAAAGGAAAAAGCAAGTGAAGCATGCAGGACCCATCAGAAATGGGAAAAAAACCCAAAAGCAACCAAACCCCCCAAGACCCATTGGAAATGGAGGGAACCAAAAAAACAAACAAACCCCCAAGACCCATCACAGCACAGAAACATAACCCCCAGCCCGAAACCATGCTGCAAAACACCCAGAAGTTTTTAAAAAGCAGAAAACAGCACCTTACCTCCCTGCAAATACACACATGCTCACTCCGAAGCAAAAGGAGGCAGTCCCAAGCCTCTGATGATGACACACACTCTCTAACTGCTGGGGCAAAAGAGCTACAAAGAAACAGCCTCATCACCACCTACAGTTAGCAATTTGAATTTCCCGCCTTTTTCACCCTCCCAAAACCATGCTGCAAACCCCACCCAGAACAGTTTTTAAAAAGCAGAAAGCAGCACCTTACCTTACCAGGCAGTCTGAAGCCTGCTCCAATCACACTCACTCTAACCGTTGGGGTGAAAGAGCTACAAAGAAGCAGCCTCTTCGCCTACCAACGCTTAGCAATTGGAATTTCCTGCCTTTTCGCCCTGTCTTTTTCTGTTCGTAACTGCAAGCTCCGGCTGCAAGTCGAAGCAAAATTTTGTGGCCGGAGCTGGTCATAACTTGAAATGGTCATAAGTCAGGATGTTTTTAAGTCAAGGCACCACTGTATTCTTTAAAGGATCTGTATACATATACTAAAGAGTTACATCCCATAGGGAATGTGGAGAGCAAGCTGAATAAGACAATTATGTTTTATAAATGTTGCTATAATAGCTGATCTCCTCTCCCCTTTCTTCCCAGGATAAATTGTATTGCATGAATACTGGGATGTGAATCCTTTAGCTCCTTAATGCCAAAATCCAACATAATACTAGCTGAGGGAAAAATCGTTGCTGATATAATTGCGATGAATTACACACCTGTGAAAGCAGATGTGTAAAGAGAATACATGTGTAAAGTTGGATGCACAACTCTTGTTCAATCCAAAGTGTTAAGATTACCATGCCATGCTTTTTCTGAAAATGTGCTGTGACTAGCATAAAGGACCATGAGTAAAGACTCCATTGTCATAAAGCACTTTTCAGCCTTATGGAGAAATATAGTTCAGGATTCTTATTTCAATTTACAAAACTAAGAAACCCCCAAAAAGGAGATTAAAAAAGAGTAAGGAGAAATATTTTACCAGTGGCCATTCTGATCTGAACAACTTGTTAAACAAAATGACTTTTAGGTCCCTTTGAATTCTGTATAGATGGCATTGCTTGTTAAGTCCTTTATTCTGCCACTAACAGCCATTCAGTGCCAAAGAAGTGGTACAGCTGGAATTCACCAGAGTAAAGGATGGCATACCATATCCCTATTACCCAAAGGACACTTCTGTTAAGGGTCTGGTCCTTTAAAGCGACACTCTCATGACGTTTTGGAGCTTGAATGAACGTGGGAAACGTATGATGTGTTAAACCGAAAGCTTTTTTTCAGGGAGGATAACTATCTTTGTAGGGTTTTTAAAATTGTTAACCAATTCTCCGCCACAACCCTTCTGCTGCTGGGAGAACATTAGAGATGGCAGACATTTTCGGTTCACTATCGACCTTAAGAATGTAATTGTAAAGATAGGTCTCCCTAGTCTGGAACTAGTCTTCCCTAATACTATCTTTGTACAGCATCCTACAGGATCCTTAACCAAATATGTGGTTGCCAGATGCCAGTTATATGACTTGTTTTTCACTTCCTAAACCCTATCCTACCTATTTCTGAGTGGTCTCAAACAACTACTAATATATTACACAGTATGTCAAGTACCATTGTTGTGTAAGGCACTTCTTCAAAAGTTGGTTGTTTTTTTGACCTGCCAGTACATAAGCGCTTGGACTTCCAGCTGGGTGGGCAACTTGTTTGCCTGTTGCTACAAAGACAGTCAGAGTAATGGTTGTTGTGGTTTTTCGGGCTCTTTTGTTTATTTCTGTTATTAGTTCAGAACGGGAATTTAAGCAGTGCTTCAACTGCATTAATTTTTAATAACTATGTGTTATACAATGAGCCTTTGTGTTATTACTGTTGTGGTTCTTTGTACTAAATTTACAGATTGAAAGTTGCTTTCCTTTAACATTTAGCTCACAGTCAAAAACATATTGCCAGAACAGAAAACCCTGTGAGGCAACAAATTGATACAGTGGTGCCTCGACTTATGAACTTATCATCCACAGTGACAAATAATCTCTCCTTCTTATCACAACAATACACCCATAACAAGACACACTAATCACCCATCTACAGAAAAAGACAAAAGCCCATCTCACAGCCATAAATACTCCACTCCCAAGCCAGCTACACCAGAGCACAGAGTGCTGTTCGCTGAAGATGCCGACCACAGAGACTGGCGAAACATTAGGAAGAACAACCTTCAGAACACAGCCAAAGAACCCGAAAAACCCACAACAACCATTAGATCCCTGTCGGGAAAGCCTTCACAAATACACAGTCAGAGTATTTTGTAGAACCTTAAAGAATAACACATTTATGGCAGCATAATCCCTGCATGTTTACTAAAGCATCTTATGAAAGGCAACTCTATTTGCTGAAAACTTTATGGTATAATAAAGCTTTATGTTGTGCATCTCATAAAGTAGATTTTAGCCTTTGAAAGTGTTATGCCACAATAGGGTGCTATAATGACCAATCTGAGCTAATGTAATTTGGACATATTGTGCAAATACAAGACTAACTGAAAAGACAGTAGGACTAGAAAAAGTGGGAAACCCAACACCTTAGGACATCATTCAGACAGCATGATTTCTTGATGAATAAAGGTACATCATTCTTTATGAATGAAGGTAACCCCCTACTCTTGCATTTGTGTAATCTTAAGAACAACATTCCTATTTTTTTCTGATAAAGAGATTCAAAGACCTTGAAAAGTTCCACATATTTTTGTGTCCTTCTATTTAGCTTAATAGTTGCATTAATGTTAACCTAATATAGAATTTGGACTTTTCTTATTGCCAGTGCATCTGCCTCTGCTTTGTGCATCTGATAGGTGCAAATCAGATTGATACTGGCCAATATGCAATACATGGTTTTAATAAATAGAACTTTTTCATAGATATGATTTCTTTTTATTATGGCATAGCCCATCTAACAGTGCTAGCATTGGATAATCCTTTGATAGTGTAGCAATTGCAATATCCCATCTTGGTTAAGGGGGAGGGGAAATTAAGTTATTCTTTTGAGTTCTGAAGTTTTTAGTTGTGGGTAGTTTCTTGATTGGCATTTCAGACAAGGCAGACTTTTTTTAAAAATTGATCTAAGTGATTCAGTGCATCACTGATGGTCTAGCAGAATGGGGAAAAAATACTTCCCTTGCCCCTCCACTGAATACTGGAAATTGGCAATGGAAGGAACCTTGACAAGGCTTGCTCACAGTGATCACACATGTTGGAAACACACCAAACTAGAACAAACCTATCCACACACAAAAAAAGTAGGAGCATCTGACAGGGTCGGGGTGTTCTGAGTATGGATTAATTTGCTCTAGAAATTATGTCATCTGATCACCAGAAAAAAGACTGAACCAATCCATCATTTCAGTCCACCAAAAAGTGGAATAAATGTGTGTTTGATCAAGTCCATACTTTAACTGTTTGGATAAACTTTTTGTGACTAAAGTACCTTTTCAGTTGATGAGTGAAGTGAAGTGCACGTTTTAATGCTCAGGTTTATATCACAGATGAATGTTGTTCACATATCTCCCTAATGTCACTCACCACCAAGAATATAAATGTGACCCCTGGAAGCAAGATCTGTGAGCCAAGTCCAATGTTGGTTCCAGTTACAGCAGACTTGTTGAAATGAATGGGACTGCAGCTAGCACAGACAGAAGGCCCATTAATTTCAATAAGACTACTCCCATGAGATCTAAAATTGGATTTATCCCTACATGTCTGCCAGTAAGGAAATATTTTCTGGCTTGCAGGCTTTGAAGATATTCGAAGGAGAGAGTCATACAAAGGGCTATTGAAATGAAAGCCATATGAAACACCTGTTGTTTATTGCCTGAAAACTATATGTTGACAATTCAACTAGTTCTAAAGCTAATTGTCCATGTCCCTTCTATTTTGTCACCAGATGGAGAATATAGTGCTAACAACTTCCATCTAATTTGTGTTTTCATAGAATGGACTCAGATTTCAACCAGGTATCTCCGAGAACAGCTGGGAAAGATTGCAGATTTTTATCATATGACCTCAAGTCAAGGCAGCAACTCTGTAGCTATGGATCCTGAAGTGGAACAAGCCCTGAAGCAATGGGAATATAATGAAAAGTTAGCATTTTATATGTTCCAGGTAACCTTTTCCAATCTGAGATGCAGGTCTCCAAAGTATTGCTTATATGTATTTACTTTGTTTGGACCCCCTTGTTTAGTTTTACCAGCTTGCTTGCTCACACCTGCTTACTGGTCAAAAGAGGTGAAATTATTTCAGAAAATACTGGAGGCCTGTAATTTGGATGCTTACTTACAGGGATGCAAATGATATATGGATTGTGTAAGATCATGGTTATTCTTGCTTATAACTCTATAATAATATATGCATGTTCAGGTATGTGAAATTCCATGATGTTTTAAGGACAATAAGATTGGTTACAAACAAAAGATGCAAGTTTAAACACGGTGGAGATATAGTAATATAGACAGTGAACCTAGGATACATGTCTGCAAAAGAACAGTTCCTTGTTAAATTTATAAACATACATTCATCTTGGCTGTCTGTGGGCAGTTTACACTTCTATCCCTAGAGGTGTTTAAAAATATTTTGTCAGTGTGAACTAGGAAATCATCTGTCTGGACAATAAGTGGGTTCTATCTATAGTTCTTATCTCTGTCTTTCTGTCTCTGTCTCGTCTTCTTCCTTGTTCAGCTACTCTATTTCACTCCTTCAACCCTCTAGCTCTTATACCATTCCATGCCATTCAATTTAACTGAGCAGCAGTCCTTGGGATTATCCTGGATCCACTGATACTTGCATGTGGATCCAACTGCTTTGTCTACAGAAGCATGATGCAGGAAGGCCTGAACTGGTATTAAAAAGGATGGTGGTGATTCTGAATGTTCAGGATATTGGTTTTGCATTCTTCCTTATTTATAGTTGATATATACAGTATATATAGTAGCCTTTTGTATATTTCCTCTTTGAACATTTTGGGGAATTTCTTTACCCATGCTCTTTCTAAAATTAATGAAGGAAGGAATGCTTGAAAGACATGAATATTTAACATGGATACTGGATGTCTTGGAAAAATTAAGGCCTGCCGATGATGAACTTCTAAAACTCCTTCTACCGATAATGTTGCAGGTACAGAGCATGCTATAACTTGGCCACAGTTCAGAAATCAACCTTGAATGTGAAATATTAAAGCATCATATATTTTAGTTAAGATTTTCATAGGCTTGTACTATGTTGTCAGAGTATTAGCAGTTAGGATGATATCAAGTTGTGTAGATTCTGGGGTTCTATGTGTTGCCACATTGTGCAATATTGATTAATTACTTGAGTTATATCTTATCTTTTAAAAATAAATTGCCAACTTTTAAAAAGAGGGGTATATACTATATATGACAGTTTCTTGGGACTAGTGTTTTTTTCCTGTGTAAGTGACAGCGACCATAACATAATGGTGACATACATGCTTTATTTGCACGCAGTTCCAGTTTTAGCTCCTAGCACATGGGTCCAACGTCTAGATGTGCTCCCTAGTATCCCTTTGTAACCTCTAAGGGGACCAGGAGGCATTTATAATGTTTTAAAAGGCCTCTCACCCTCCTGGGGCACCCCTCTGACAACAAATATTCATCACTAGATGGTAGAAGGGGCTTTTTCATTTTAAAATTCTATTTTTTGTAAGAAATATTGTTGCAGCTGGGTGTTGAGGGACTGAGAGCAGCACTCCAAGGTCTAATGATGGGCACATACAGTTTTCTCGACCTTTGGAGATAGCTTGACGCCTGCCATATCATCACCCCTGTCCTGACATCACCTGTTAAAACGTTCTTGCAGAGTAGATCTTTAGAGAATTGCTGATTGTTTGAGAATTTTGGGAAACTGTGATAAGGAGGTTATTCAGAGGTTGGACCAGTTGCTTCTTTGGACTACAGCTCCCAGAATTCCCCAGCCAGCAGTCTAGCTTCTAGATGTTGCAGTCCAAAAAAGTGTGGGTTCCCCTCCCCCAATTCCAGTTATGCTAGGTGGATAAGTGGTGTGATACATTGCAAGATACCTTGCTACTTTTGTCAGAATTTAACATTTACAATGAATCTATTTTTTTAACAAACTTTTCCAGTATTCCGAAGAGTTCGTTCAATCAGCCTACCTGTCCCGCCGCCTTGCTTATTTCTGTGCCAGACGAGTCTCCTTACTGATAAGTGACAATCCTAACCTCATAGCTACTCACTCACCTCATATGATTCTTGGACCAAACAATCCTCCTCTAGCAGCATCCAGCCCTTCTACAACTGGTCCTGGAGTGAATCCTGCACAGCTTGCCTGCTCAGATTTCCTTTCATGCCCACAGCATCGTCCTCTTGTTTATGGACTCAGTTGTATGCTACAGGTACTTGAATGTGTTTTTGGTGCTCCTTTAACTGCCAGGCAATCATTAGATTTCTGAAAGAATGTTTGCATTTAGTTATTGTGCCCTTTTAGTAATAGTGAGTTATGCGGATTTATACTATCACTGGAAACAATGGCGTGGCTGAGAACGTTTCAATTCTGGCTAAAAATGTTTTAGAACTCAGAACAAGGCAGCTTATTATATCAGCTTCTGCAAGATTCTGACCCTCCTTTTGGGTCTTCTACTGCTTTTAAAAAAACCTGAAATTGATTGGCCTAGACATTAGCTCTTTAGGTTCACTAAGTCTAGAGCTAGCATTCCAAACTGTTAAGAGATGATTATGGACACTGAGTTTCAGGAATTATGGAGCACAGCTGATAAATCTTGTTCCCCATTGTCTCTCCACATCCCCTTTAAAATGGGACAACCAGCTGCTTTCTTCACACTACTTACATGCTCACAAAACCACAGGGCCTTTTCTCTGGCCAGATGCAACATCATGCCTGGTGCTGTATCATATGGTAGGTATAACTGAACCCCTTATCTCTAAAGATATTGTCCATGTGAGCCAGGTGCTTTGGATACCCTTACTCACATGCTCTTGCACTGTTTGCTTCATCAGGAGTGTCACAAAAACCGTGTCACATCAATATTATTAGAGCTGGAGGGAACATCTGATCTGGACAAGATCTGTTTTATGTTATCAGCGGAGGTGGTTGACATTATAGAACAAGTAGCTGTTTTTCTTGGGTCAATTGTTAGAAGGTGAAGCCCTGACCTCGAATGAATGTATTTGTTTCATGCTCCCTGTGAATCCAGAAATCTAGCAAACTAGCTTGACTTTGTTTATTTTATATGGCAATAAAGATTATTATTATTATTATTATTATTATTATTATTATTATTATTATTATTATTATTATTATTATTATTATTATTATTATTATTATTATTATTATTATTATTATTATTATTATTATTATTATTATTATTATTATTATTATTATTATTATTATTATTATTATTATTATTATTATTATTATTATTATTATTATTATTATTATTATTATTATTATTATTATTATTATTATTATTATTATTATTATTATTATTATGAAACAAAAAAATCAACACAAACAGGATAACGAGCAACTTACTTTTTTGTTTCAGATTTTACCCCATCCCAATTCCATAGGCACAACATAGTCTGAAGGTTGGCAAAAACTTGGTTGAGGGATTTGTGTTTTGACATCTGCATTGCTTTCTGATCTGATCGCTTTCTGAGTCATTCTGAATGTTTGAATTTGAAACAATATATTTTATTTAGTTGAGCATTAAGTGTTCTCTTTTTGAAAGACATTTCAGGACTCTGTAGATTCAATCCCCAAGTGGCATACCCATATTCTGATCCTCCCTCCACAACCCAAAACATATTGCTGTGCGTCCTTCAGGACTGTACTGGAATCCGTATACTTTGATAATGCCATGAAAGAGATGCAAATGTAAATTGAACAGAGACCACACAAAATCCATTTTTTCATGAAATGAATAAAATAATATTTTGATTGAATTTCACATGTTGTTAAAAAAGGAGACACTTTGTGCTAGGAATTTCATTGCTTTTTACACTGTAGTTTGCTGGTCACTTAATTACACAGTCTTAATTGGTTACTTTTTTCTTAAATGAAATCCTTTCCAAATATTTCTGTTACAGACTATAACTCTCTGTTGCCCAAGTGCCTTGGTGTGGAATTATTCCACAAATGAAAGTAAAAACATCAATCCTGGTTCACCTTTGGATTTACTTCAGATTGCTCCATCTAGTTTACCTATGCCAGGAGGAAATTCTGCATTCAACCAGCAGGTAGACCTTGTGATCTATATACTGTAATGCACTGAAAAATTAATTGAGGGCAACATAACAAACTGTATATATTAACATAATGTATTTATCCACATGCCCTATAAGTTGACTCATGTGAAACTTTCTGCATTTCTTCTTTGAAAGGAGCCATCATTATATGGGCAGGTAGTAAGTAAGGAGGAAGAGAGCTTGGAAGTGTTATTCTTTTGGACTACAGTTTCCAGAATCTCCCAGCCAGCATGGGAGTTGGAGTATGAGGACAATTTGTAAAAAAGTAAAAATCCCTCGGTCTTCTTGGGAGTGTAAAAAGGACAAAAGATGGTGCTCGGTATTGAACTGAGCTTTGAATCTACCATTAATTTGGTGGAATGACAATTTTATAGGTATAAGAGCTGAAATACAGTTGCTTAGCTTAATAAGTGAGTAGAGTTGGCCCATCGGAGGAATGTACAGAGAATCACTACATCCTCCTAATTCAGTGGTCCTATTCTATGCTAAGCAACAAGACTTCTGCCAATATGAGACCCACAGGCTTTCAGAAAGCTGGTATTTGGAGAGCTCTGCCAGGTTTGCACTAAGGTGAGAGAAAAATGAGTATTTTGAATGCTTTCAAATGAGAGACGTTCTTTTCAAAGTCATTACATGATAATCTATAAGACAGGAAAGTTAAGGAGCTATTTTCTTTCCATGTTTAATGTATTTTTGCCTGCAGTTGCTGCTAGTTGTTGCTTCCCACTTTTAGGAAAGGAAGGAAACAAAAGAGAAATATGACATGTGCTTGATAGTTGTTTTTCTTTTCAATTGTGTTAATTAGGAATTAATTCTTTCAGGTTCGAGCCAAGATTTATGAAGTAGAACAGCAAATAAAACAAAGGGGGCGTGCTGTGGAAGTGCGATGGTCATTTGACAAATGCCAAGAATCAACTGCAGGTAAAGAACTGAGTGTTTAAATCTGTGTTATTCCAGTTCTCCAAATCTGGGCAGTTTAATTTACATAGACAGTCCAATTTGGTTTCTGTACCAACATGTAGAATATGCTAATTAATACAACATTTTCTGTATATCATATTTTCATATTATGCAAATTATTAATTGCTGCATTATTTTTCTACCACTACGTTTATCTGTGGAATTCCATATACCATAACCCTTGATCTGATAGAGTCTGTATAGTGCAATGGATAGAGTGCTGGACTTAGAACATGAAGACATACCTTCAGACCTCTAATTACCTACAAATCTTACTTTTATCCTTGGATCACTCAATACTTCTCAGACAAATGTACCTTGCAGTGGTGTTTTCAGAAGCCATGTAAGTTCTGGAGTTTACAAATAAATAATAACATTTTGCCACACATATTGGGTTTCTGGTAAGATTCTCATGACATGGCTGTTACTTTTGGCCATCAGTTTTTAGTGATGGTAAAGACTCTCTGCAGGTCCATTAGAATCCCATGGGAATCCCACATGAATGGCACAATGGTTTGCAGGAAAAAGTGCAGAAGAAAGTGAGAGCAAGGTATAGAAATCGGTGGAAAAACAAGCTGTAATATCCTTTAGAAATACAGATTTAACATTTTATAATAACTAGAAAATAGTCTAGCTTAACTTTCTTGGTCATTTTTTACTTTTTACACATATATGCACACACGTGTGCAAATGTAAATCTTGCATGACTCCTGCTTCTTAAACCCTCACTTCCAAAGCTGTGGTTTTATTTCACTGCTGTGCTGTACTGGAGAGTCATCTATGTGTTCTGGTCTGTCAAGTCGGAACTGGCTTTTAGTGACTCTAACAGGATTTTCAAGGTGAGTGAAATATTTAAGGAGTGGCTTTACCAGTTCCACTTCCCCAGTGAGTTTCCATGGCTGAGGGGAGATTTGAACCCTGTTCTCCAGAGTCCTAGTCCCTCTCTCTATCCACTGCTAGCTACTATCTGATATTTGCTAAGCTCATCAAATAATTGTGCATAATGAATTCTACTGCTCACTGATACATTTGTGTGGGGGAAGAAGAAGAATGATGATAAAATAAGAATTGGGGAGTCCCATTTTGTGACACCTTTAATCTCTGTCAAAGTTAACAGGCGTTGGGATTGCCAGAAAGGGTATTAAGTTGGTGGTGTGTATATGAGAGAAAGAGAGAGAGAGACTGCCTGGTGGGATTGCAATGAGGAGATCATTCCATTTTAAGGAACAACATATTAAAAAGGATTGGATGGGAATAGATGAGGGGAAAGTGGGAGACTGGAATTATGATAGATAGGCAGGGTAAAATGAGATAGACTTTGCTTACATTCAGGAATAGGTTATTCTAAAACTCAGGGAAATAATAGTAACGAACAGAAACAAAACCTTGGGAAAAGGTGGATGATGTAATCAAATATAGGAGAGAGGTTCACATGCATCTTTAATGTAATGCATCAAAACGTAATGCTGGTATGAAACGTTTGTTTAGGAAAACAGTCAATACCTCATAAAGAATTCTGATTTCACTCTGTGGATGTTCAATGTCTTTTCTGCTTTTCTTTGTACTAGGAGTTACTATCAACAGGGTTTTGCACACATTGGAGGTTTTGGATCGACATTGTTTCGATAGATCCGATTCCAGCAATTCAATGGAAAGTCTTTATCACAAGATTTTCTGGCCAAACCAGAATAAGGACAACCAGGAGGTAATAATACTAAAATGATGCATAGTTTGATTTGCAAACAAAAATTTTATAATGTGTTTTATAAATAGGCAACATAGAATACTGATGTGAATTATCCCCATCTTTTTTTTTCTGAAAATGCTTCCAGGTTTGGTTGTTTCACAAATTCAACAGTATCCTTCAGTCGTATTCAAACCCTTCTACAATGTACTAAAAATAAACTTGCAAGAAACAGACCATGGTATGCTTACTTCCTTGTTCATAGTCCTGAATGATACATACTGGGCATGTTTAGCCTAAGTCTGCTTCTTGCACTGTCATGTGGTACTATTTATGTCTAATGTTTTTTTTATGAATGTTGGTGTTTTTGGAATCCCATTGGAGTTGGGTATTGACCTCTGGGAAAACTAAATCAGGGAAACAGCTAATAGTGTGCAGAATCAGAGGTCCAAGCAGACAAACTATACAGTATAGGATAGCTCTCTTTTCTCTCTCTGCCATTCCACATGAAATTTGGCTACTTGTCATGGGTGTCAGGTTCTTCTCATGCTCTCATGATTACAGTGCCTGGAATCCTGTTGCTTAGTGCAAGAAAATTCGTAACATTCAATCCATTCCTAGCCAAGAAACAGAGTCGCTACTGAGATTTTTCAGGGTGCACACATACCACGAGCCCGAGTGTGCGTGAACCCCTCCTCCCTGAATCATCACGGGGACTCTTTCTTTGCTGGCTAGCAATGGACTGAATGTTATGAATTTTCTTATGCTGAGCAACAGGACTATTATAGTATGAAAACAGGAAATAGCTAGTTTCTGTTCCATGTTCTCTTCAGCTGCTCGTCTTTTCCATTCACTGACTTCCATTTATCAGTAAAACTGCAATCTTAACCTGTTTCATTTGTGGAAGTGACTGAAAATCATTTAATGACTTTGGCCCACAGAAGACAGGGCAAGTGCTATATTTGTATAGCAGCTTACATTGACTTTAGCAACCATCATTTCCTCTCTTGCCAGCTCTTCTCAGCTGCCAAAAGAATAACAATTTTAGAATTTCAGGGGAACTAGTTCTGCAGCTGGCAGTTTTGAAATTGCACCATAGTTCTTGCTGTTCTTGTTGTGTGAATATGGGATGGGGGTGAACAATGCATACCCAGGCAATCAGGAAGGCTGATGTATCAAATAATGGTACTCTGTACTTAGTAGCTTCAAAGTTGGAGATTTAGATGGTTTGTTGTTATTTAGTCATTAAGTTGTGTCCGACTCTTCATGACCCCATGGACCAGAGCATGCCAGGCGCTCCTGTCTTCCACTGCCACCCAGAGTTTGGTCAGATTCATGTTGGTAGCTTTGATGACACTGTCCAACCATTTCGTCCTCTGTCATGCCCTGCTCCCCTTGCCTTCACATTTCCCCAACATCAGGGTCTTCTCCAGGGAGTCTTCTCTTCTCATGAGATGGCCAAAGTATTGGAGCCTCAGCTTCAGGATCTGTCCTTCCAGTGAGCACTTGGGGTTGATTTCCTTCAGAATGGATAGGTTTGATCTCCTTGCAGTCCAGGGGACTCTCAAGAGTCTCCTACATTACCACAATTCAATTGTTCGGTGGTTAGCCTTCTTTATGGTCCAGCTCTCACTTCCATACATTGCTCCTGGGCTTTTGTTGGCAAGGTGATGTCTCTGCTTTTTAAGATGCTGTCTAGGTTTGTCATTGCTTTCCTCCCAAGAAGCAGGTGTCTTTTAATTTTGTGGCTGCGGTCGCCATCTGCAGGGATCATGGAGCCCTAGAAAGTAAAATCTGTCTCTACCTCCATATCTTCCCCTTCTGTTTGCCAGGTGATGGGACCAGTGGCCATGATCTTAATTGTTGTGATGCTGCGCTTCAGACCATTTTTGCACTGTCCTCTTTCACCCTCCTTAAGAGGTTCTTTAATTCCTCCTCACTTTCTGCCATCAGAGTGGTATCATCTGCATATCAGAGGTTATTGATATTTCTTCTGGCAATCTTAATTCTGGTTTGGGATTCCTCCAGTCCAGCTGTTTGCATGATGTATTCTGCATATAAGTTAAATAAGCAGGGAGACAATATACAGCCTTGTTGAACTTCTTTCCCAATTTTGAACCAATCAGTTGTTCCATACCCAGTTCTAACTGTTGCTTCCTGTCCCACATATAGGTTTCTCAGGAGGTAGATAAGGTGATCAGGCACGCACATTTCTTTAAGAACTTGCCGTAGTTTGCTTTGGTCCACACAGTCAAAAGCTTTTGTGTAGTGAATGAAGCAGAAGTAGATGTTTTTCTGGAACTCTCTTGCTTTCTCCATAATCCAGCGCATGTTAGCAATTTGGTTCCTCTGCCCCTTCGAAATCCAGCTTGTACTTCTGGGAGTTCTCAGTCCACATACTGCTGAAGCCTACCTTGTAGGATTTTGAGCATAACCTTGCTAGCGTGTGAAATGAGTGCAATTGTACGGTTGTTGCAGCATTCTTTGGCACTGCCCTTCTTTGGGATTGGGATGTATACCGATCTTTTCCAATTCTCTGGCCACTGCTGAGTTTTCCATACTTATTGGCATATTGAATGTACAGTAGCACCTTAACAGCGTCATCTTTTAAGATTTTAAATAGTTCAACTGGAATGCCATCACCTCCACTGGGGTTGTTAGCCATGCTCTCTAAGGCCCACTTGACTTCACTCTCCAGGATGTCTGGCTCAAGGTCAGCAAGCACACTATCTGGGTTGTCCGGGACATTTAGATCTTTCTGGTATAATTCCTCTGTGTATTCATGCCACGTCTTCTTGATGTCTTCTGCTTCTTTTAGGTCTCTATCATTTTTGTCCTTTATCGTGTCCATCTTTGTACAAAATGTTCCTTTAACATCTACAATTTTCTTGAACAGATCTCTGGTTTTTCCCTTTCTATTATTTTCCTCTATTTCTTTGCATTGTTCATTTAAGAAGGGCCTCTTGTCTCTCTTCCTATTCTTTGGAAGTTTGCATTCGTTTTTCTGTAACTTTCCCTATCTCATGGTTGTTGTGGGTTTTTTGGGCTCTTGGGCCGTGTTCTGAAGGTTATTCTTCCTGACATTTCACCAGTCTCTGTGGCTGGCATCTTCAGAGGACAGCACTCTGTGCTCTGAAGCCTTTGCGAATACATTTTCCGTATCTCCCTTGCATTTTGTTTCCCTTCTCTTCTCTGCTATTTGTAAGGCCTCATTGGACAGCCACTTTGCTTTCTTGCATTTCCTTTTCTTTGGGATAGTTTTTGTTGTTGCCTCCTGTACAATGTTACGACCCTCCATCCACAAGCCCTTCTGCTTGGTGGGTGCTTAGAACTGCTGCCAAGAAGCCGCTGATCTGGAGTGATTCCAGAAATGCCTTAGTGACTAACTGCAAATGATATTTCATGGTGACCTGTCATACAGTTTTGAAAAATTATTGTTGTATTTGTTCAAATCCTACAGTTAGGCAGTTATGTGACTATGCAGCTAAATTAAGTTGTTAGTGGTAGTGAGCATGGATGATGAGTCTGAAGTCCCTTGTCTGAGTTTATTCTCCTCCGTTAATTTGTAATGGAAATTTTTAGTGGAACTTCTAGGTTAGGGGGTGTCAGATGCAGTCTTAATACCTAATGAAACAGTTTAGAGACATATATTCAGCATTTGGAAATTGAGTCTGAACCACTAGATGGCAGCTTTCGCTCTCTAGCTGCAATATGGTTCCTGTTATTTAAAGTTGTTTTCATATTTACAAAAGCATGGGTAGTAATTATGCATCTGGTTTGTTTTTATAAATCACTTCAAGTGCTGTTTTCTTCAAAGAATCTGTTATTGTTTTAGAATAGGTTTTAGAAGATGCCATGTATAAGACGTTGCCATGTATCTCACTCTTATATCTGAGGAAATGGGCTTTATTTGTGAAAGCTTACATTCAAATACATCAGTCTTTAAAGTGCCACAATATTTTTTTAAATTCTTTTATTTTTCTTTTGTTTTTGCCTGGGCTTTATTCGTGAAAGCTTACATTCAAATACATCAGCCTTTAAAGTGCCACAATATTTTTTAAAATTCTTTTTTATTTTTATTTTGTTTTTGCCTGTTAGTTATGATTACACTTGAAAAACATTGTATTTAATTGTGTCTTATATCTGGTGTGTTTAATGCATAGCTTAAGAATATCATTGTTGCCCTTTTTACAGTATTCCAAACTGCGTGAAAGCTTACATTCAAATACATCAGCCTTTAAAGTGCCACAATATTTTTTAAAATTCTTTTTTATTTTTATTTTGTTTTTGCCTGTTAGTTATGATTACACTTGAAAAACATTGTATTTAATTGTGTCTTATATCTGGTGTGTTTAATGCATAGCTTAAGAATATCATTGTTGCCCTTTTTACAGTATTCCAAACTGTTTAAAAAATTTTTGTTTCAAAGTTCCAAACAATTGTAAATGTAGTGTTGATTAACTTGTGGATGAGATTCAGTTAATAGCATCACTCTGTCAGCTACGTTTGCTTTCCTTGTATCCTGACCTTTGTAGTTGACTCCCTGGCTATGTATGACATTCTGAAATGGCTTGACTACACTACATAGACTGTCCTATTTGTTTTATTGAGTATTGGGCCAGCTTTACTTTGATCTTGGACTGTGGCTTTGGATCTCCTGGATCTGACAGACCTTTGTTTGTTGGAGACTAGACCACCTCTAACCAGAATAGTAACAGACCAACAAATTTGTGGTACCAGATGACATTATTGGTTTGGAGATACAGAATCTCAAATGCTGTACAGCTAATAAAAACAGCAAACAGTCCTGGACTCAATTATGTTTTTTCAGAAGTGTTGAACCTAATAGAAGATGATGAGACAATAAGTACAGTGGTGCCCTGCATAGCGACGATAATCTGTTCCGGAAAAATTGTCGCTATCCGGATTTGTCACTATGCGAAAAGAAAAAGCCCATAGGAAAAAACAACTCGCCTTTAAGTGAAAATCCTCCATACAGCCACCATTTTCGGTGCCCGATATGTGAGGAATCGTCGCAAAAACACATGCAGAGAAGTGGCAGGAGACATGACATATGTATTCAGGAGGGAGTTTCAAGCTAAGGAAGCACTATCTTGTCTACATATATTTGGACAGAGACACTCTGACAGGAACATGGATATGAATGCTTGCTTTATTTACAATAAAGCTTTTAGCAGAGTCCAACAGAGTTACCTTGGGTATTCTTGAGGAGAAAGGTGAGGTATAAATATTTTAAACAAATAAACAAATATGGGAACTCAGTGGAACTGTTGGTAAACAGATATCTTGATTCAATAGATATGTTCATAGTTGGGGTGAAAACAGATGTCTTGATTCAATAGATATGTTCATAGTTGGCATGTTATGAGGCAACAAAAAGCTGCTAAAACTTGAAGATCAGAGACTAAGGATATATAGAGATATAAAGAGTAATTTGACAATAATATGTAGTCTCACTACTGCTTTTGAATTTGTACTTTGAGAACGTCTTTAGAGAAGGATTTGTTGATTCACATGAAAACATTTTTGTTAATGGTCAGATTATAAATAACCTTCGATATGCAGATAAAACTGACTATAATCTTGATCTTTATGTAAATGGTACAAAGTGAGTAATGGATATGATATGAAAATGAATGGTAGACAAATCCGTGTTAATCAGTAAAAATCTATGCAAGCAATGTAATAAAAGATCCATACCAGAGGTGCGGATCATGTTAATCCAGGCTACCATGAAAAAGACAGGAACATTTGAAATACAGATTTATTGTACTATGCTGAGAATATCTTGGATCAAAAGGGTAACTAAGGCAGAAGTTCTAAAGTGAAAGAATAAGGAATGGGAAATCATAAAATAGATACAGTGGATAAATCTAGAATATTCAGTCACATAAGGAAGAACTTAAAGTACAGAAGATGGGATAAATGGAGAAAGAGATCATGGGAAAAATGGTTTATGGGTAGAAGAAACCTGGAGGCTGGTTTGGATGTAACAAAACATTGTTGGTTAGAGCTGCTGCATCCAAAGTCTTGATAGCCATGATGACCCAATGTCTGGTAAAAGAGAGAGAAAATGAAGACTTGTGTAGAGGGGAAGATGCCTCATCCTTATATTCTGCCGCAGCAATTACTTCCATAAATAAGCATTTTTAAAAAGTGTTGCAGGCAAAGATGAGTGTTCAGTTTATCAATTAAACTGTTTTTGTTTGTTTCTGCTTCCTATAAATCTAAAGTAAGCATTAAGAGAATTTATAGTAACATGTATAACATGACATACTGGACATGGACTGTAGTTTAGGATTTTACACTTTCAGTTTCAAACGTTTCTTAATGGTGCTATGTTCTGCTGTATTTTATGGTGGAATTGGTTGTGAAAGTTTAAGAAAATGACATTTTAGCCTCTTGTGTAAAAACAAAACAAGTTATTCAGCCTAACCTTTTCCTGTTCATGCTGTGTATTTACTAGAACTTGTGTTTGAAGTTTTCCAGTGATGTGCTTAGTTTAAAAAAGAAAAAGAACATGTTTCTTACTGACTCATTTCCCACCAGTGAAAAGTTCAGTGCAATTGATATCTCAGTCTCGTAAGCTTCACAAAGTCACCAGGCAGGTGCTATTTGCAGAAGTGTCTGTAGTTTACTTGTGAGTAAACCCAGTATTATGAAAAATAATTATTAGGTGTTGTTCTCTAGACAGTGAGAGGACGTCTGCTATCCCCTTGGAAACTATAATGAAGTAGGTCCGTGTATAGTTTCCTGTTATGGTAACATATTAGGTTACTTTTTTCAAAATTACTTGTGGTAGTGTCATCACAAACAGCCTACACTTGTACATAAGTCTCTCTTCTTCAGACTTGTAATTTTGTGTATGAAGGGTGGACTAATATTTCCCCCTTATCACATCTTGAATATAACCAGTAATTAGTGGTGGAATAGTCCTTAGATGATTTAGGGAATCTGGACCTTCCTTTTAAAACCAGCCCACTTCTTCAGCTGGTTGACTGGCATCAAATTGTGAAAACATGCTGTGTTTATGCATCTCCTCCACCCATGCTAATGGCAAACTAGATTTGTGGACACAGTTGTATACTTTTTGCCAGCTGTTTTGATGTTTAAAGATAGCTTCATTCTCCTCTCTATATATGCAAGGATGGTATCAGGTGCCATAATTAGGCAGTGAGCTGCAGACTGACTCATTTAGAAACAAAATCAGCTACCTTCTTCCTTTTTTAAAAGTACACAGCATATATTTGGTTTCTCATTAATCTAAGGCTGTATTCGTATATCAGTAAAAGGTATCAAAACTTGTTTGTGCAGAGGAATTTTATGTAACTAAAGCAAATCAAAAGATTCTTCTATTATATATAAATGGATATATATAAATTGGCTAAAGCTTATGTGAAGAAAGGAAAATAGTTTTACTTCAATATTATGTTTTACATTACAAGTCATTAATTGTTTGTGAGATATTCAAATGCTACTTTGCATTCCTTTTCATATAGAAATTGAGCACATATAAACATTCACATATCAAATTGAAGAAGTCACAGCTGTTGTGAATAGTAGCTGAAGAATTTTTAGAATTCATGAACAGAACTAGCTGGCTTTTGCTGTTCACACTATTGCCTAAACAAAGTCAATTTCCCAGACCTTTATCAAAAAAGAGGAGTGGTCTTTATTGAATGCTGAGAGGGTGGTTTGAGGTGAAAGTGACTAGTTATGATCTTTCTGATGTCATAACTGACCCCAGAACATGACTTAGAAGCTGTGTTGTCTATGACTCCATGTTTGGGTACCTCCCTCATTGAAAGAGCAGTCCCGAATGTTGAGTCATCCTGGGGTCGTTGTCATTTTTTAAAACCCTCCTTATAATTTCCTCAACATAAAAGGGACTAGAATCGAAAAACAGTGTTGTCCTTATTCGTATCTACTGTATATCTAATTCATAGCTAATTTTTGTTCTACTGTTAAGTAAGATGCTGTCTTTGTTGTTGTTGATTTAATAGGTTGCACCTAATGATGAAGCCGTAGTCATGCTGCTTTGTGAATGGGCAGTGAGCAGTAAAAGATCTGGCAAACACCGGGCAATGGCAGTGGCCAAACTGTTAGAGAAGAGGCAAGCTGAAATTGAGGCAGAAGTAAGTTGCTTGTTGTTATCTGTTGGTAGCACATGGTTATAAATTGTGATTTTCCTGACCTTAAAGGCTGCTATACTTCATTTCATGGTTTGGTCCAGGGATTCTGGAAGTTGAGGTCCAAAATGCCTTTTACAGACTCTTCTCCTTATACAGAATCTAGCAGTCAATTTTAACATGACTTGTGTGGTAGCAGTGAACAAGAAACAGTTGGATGGGGAAAAAAGTCAGCAAGGAATAGCTCACAGTTCTTCCTTAGAATTCACTTTTGAACCCATTGATTGATTTTCAGTCGGTAACTTCCAATGAAAATAAACAAAAGGTTTCATTGGAATATTGCAGTTGTTTCTCACTTGACTCTACTGAAAGCATCACTGATGTCTCGGCCTATTAGAGTTATGGCTTTTGCACAGCTGATAGTGCAAAGGATCAGAAGACACGTAAATGGACTGGAATAATGCATGACTAAAACTTTTACAATTGGCTGTATTCACAATTTTTTTCCCTCAGAAAGAAAGGAATGCAGGGAAAGAATCCAGCTTGCCATAAATGTACATGGCAAAGACTTTATGCAGTAGCATAAATGCTGGCAGTCTATGTAAACTTAATATGCAAGAAAGATGTAAATAATTTTCTTTTGAGTAGGGTCATATGGTGGTGATAGAGAGCAAATTTTTGACATGCATTTGTGTGTCGTGCAGCCAAGTCTAAAAAGACTCTAAATCTGATTGTCTTGTTTAGTGTTCCACACAGTCAACCAGAGATCAACATGTCACAACTGTTTCAAGTGGATTGGGGAAATGTTTCTCTCCCTTGTTAATGTTGCATGAGAGGTTTTGGGTAGTGGAGGAGAGAGAAGCAAATGTAATTGCTTTTATAGCTATGGTATTGCAATTCAAAACTGACTCATTCTTTCTTGCCTGATTTTGTAGCGATGTGGTGAGGTGGAAGTCTTGGATGAAAAGGAATCCATTTCTTCAGCATCACTTGCTGGCTCCAGCTTTCCTGTTTTCCAGAACGTCCTCCTTAGATTTTTAGATACCCAAGCCCCCTCATTATGTGAGTATCCAACAATTTCTGTTCCACACAAGAGTGGAATATTCTGACCTTTTGTCCATTTTCTGGATTAGTTCTACTTTGTTTTTCTCATTGGTGTTAGTATAAGGCTTTAACTGTCCCAAAGTTTTTATTTTGGGAACCAAGTATAGATGAGTATTTTTGTCTTAAGGCAACTGAGGAACTCCTTAATATAGCTCTTTCACTTAGAGGTTGGAGGAAAAGTATCTGCTGTGATCAGAGAATTAGGGCATATGGTTAAAATCCAGCACATTATTATTATTATTATTTTTGTTCTATATATGGTGATTTATAGAGTACAGCAGGACAGATCTCTGTGCCCCAAGAGTTTAATATTAAATATATGGGAAACAAAATAGCATTGTAATCCTATTATGGAATGTATCATCAATTATTATTGGGAGGACGGAAATGTTATGCTTTAATGGGGCCTTGATAATCTGCAAACCCATTCGTATGAGAAAAAGAAATTGAGGCAACGTTTATATCCTGCTTGAGAGTATGTGAGGAGGATAGTGCCACAGATGCCCCTGTCGGTGGTCTGGCGACCTCCAGTCCATGAGTTATGCTACTTAATTCAGGGCCTCAGGGGCAAGCCACAGAGGAAGATTTTGCCATTAGCTATAAGTCCCAAGAAAGCAGGACCCAAACGTGCGTATGTTGCTATGTCAGTCCTGGGGGTTGGAGGATGACCACATAGTGGGAAAGCGAAGCTAGTCTACCCGGGGTGTATGGACAATATAAGGGAGGCTTTGCTGCTAAAAGAGAGGGAGAAAGGGGAGACTGCAGGAGAGAAAGGAAGGGGGAAAAGGGAAAAGAAAACGCCTCAAGAAAAGACAGCTTCCTGGGAAGAAAGGGGAGTAGTGGTGAGGGAAGTTGGTAAATATTGAGAAAGGGAAGAAATTAAAGATATTAAAGGGGATTTTGGGGGGTAGTCCAATGAATTTCTGGAGGACAAGAAGCTGAAGGAACATAGTGAGCCCTTGGGAAATTTTTTAGATTAGGCATCCTTCAGTCTCGAGAGATGATGGTAACGTGCTCTGAATAGAGGACTTGGAACAACATCTAGTGTGGCTGAGAAGGCCAATTCGAGAGTGACAATCCCTTCCACACTGAAGACAAAAACAGTCTGTCCCCTGTCCAGCTCCCTGATTTTGCTGGTTTCGAGGCTGCCTCTGTTCCTTGGCCTCCTGGAAAAGGGTCTCTTCAAAATGGGAGAGGCCGTGCTGCACCGCCTGCCTCCAGGCTGAATGCTCAGATGTCAAGGTTTCCCATCTGTTGAGGTCCATTCCTAAGCCATTCAGATCCTGCTTGCAGATATCCTTGTATTGTGGCTGTGGTCTCCCTCTGGGGTGATTTCCCTGCACTAATTCTCCATACAGGAGATCTTTTGGAATCTTACCATTCTCACGACATGCCCTAGCCAATGTAGACATCGCTGTTTCAGTATACTGACCCTCTTATTGGAGGAACATGAAAGGAGGGAGGCAAGAAATAATGTAAGCTTCCCAAATGCTTCCAACAACCCTGGAGGAGACAAGAGGTGAGGGTGCACCAGCAGAAGGAAGTAGGAGGAAAGAGAGTTGGGGAATTTAATCATCCGCATCCTTCATCCAAGCGAGCTCCATAAAATTGTCCTCCTTGTGGACATAACATTTGTCTTTATTGGGAGTTGGCAAGGAGAGGAGCAGGCTTAGGCTTGAGACCAACAGAACCTCCTGTTAGCAAGATACCAGGAATGAACTTGTGCTGTGAAAGCTAGGGAGAACCCCTTGGTGAAGGTAACCAGGGGAGTTTGTGGGTGTAAAGGACCCTGAGCCAGCAAAGGTGACTCAGGACAGAGAGGATCACTTAATGTTTTGAACCTGTTTCTGTTCCTATTTCAGCTAATTCAATAAAATGGTTAGTGTTTTAATATAAAAGTGTGAAGATCATGGAATCTGATGTGGCTGGTGGGAATCACAAAGTATTAGTGGCGATTGATTTCCCTGTAATGTCCAAATCTTGTGAGATTTGCTGGGGTCAGAGGCAGTAGAGCAAAAGAAACAACTTTCTTTATGATGTATAAATGCCCTAGTCCCTGCCCCAGAACAGAGATTCTCCAAGAAGTCTAAACTAGCTGTGACTGTTTTATTAAATGAGATCTTTATTAGTGTGAACCTGGAGAGATCATTCATTGTTTTGAAACGAAAAAGCCATAACAATAATGATTGGAAATGAGTAGCGTTAGTTGATAAAACATTTGCAGCTGCACTGTATGGCTAGAATATAAACATCATGAGGAATTTTTAGGAGCATTCGAAGAGCACCAAAATAATCTGTGAGTTTTGAAGGACTCTTTGATAAGAGAAAAGCCACCTTGCAAAAAAGACTGGTGTTAAGGGAGTGTTTGCAATTCCCTGTATGAGTTGTGGCGTCAGTTTGGGAAAGTACAGCATGTTATTTCAGAATTAGAATTGAAATGTTTATTTCGTGACTCAGAAATTGCAGGTGTGTGACTGTGGCATTTGTGTGGGAATATGCCTGTGTTCTAAGTTTGTACTGATGCCCCCAGAATAATGCTTGGGCCCTGTATTCATGTTTTTACAGAAGTAAATACTGTACTAGGATCTACTTTTTGAGAGGCATGCACTAGATTGCACAATAAACTTGTCATACCTAAAGCATCAAGTCATCAAGTAAAAGCACTCCATTACGAAATGAAACTTAGTTCTCAACATAGTTTGGTTTTAGGCCCTTTTCAAGCTGAATGTGCTTTAATGGTGTCATACGCCCACACTCACAGAGATTTGGTTCTAGAGATGTTTTACACTGAGTTGAATACTGTGCATTTGTGCAAAGCAGTCCTAACAAATCCTTCAGATTTTCATGTCTTGCTTCAGTTTTCTAGCCAATGCAATTCCATAGAGTCCTTTAGGACAGTGGTCCCCAACCTTGGGCCTCCACATGTTCTTGGACTTCAACTTCCATAAATCCTGGCCAGGAGAGATGGTGGTGAAGGCTTCTGGGAGTTGTAGTCCAAAAACATCTGGAGGCCCAAGTTTGGGGACCACTGCTTTAGGAGTAGTTTGGCTGGGTTGGGAGACATGAAACTGTAATAGAAAGGAAAACCCTCTTATGTGAGTAGTATGTGTGTTCTGGACAGTCTTCTTTGGCTCGAACCCATGGTGTTTCCACATGAATGAGTTCTCCTGCAGTGAGTTTTTTTCGTACAAACAGGCCTACTCTAAATTCATTGGTTGCTTAATCTCCAAGGCTGCAGGTTTTAACACATTTATTAGGGAGAAAAAAACCCACTGAATGCAGTGATACTGGCTATTAAATAAACAAGCAGAGGCTTGTGTAACAGTAAACTGAAAATACTCTTTGTTGTTAGTTCCATTGAAATGACTTGCTGCAGACAGGAAGCATTTTCTGGTGTCTTTTGTGCTCAAAACTAGTGCCTTGCCCACATGGGTGTGTAGCATGCATCAACTCTAAAAAAAGAAACTTAGCTGTATAGTCTGTAAGCAAAAAAAGAAAAATCTGCAGTAACTTTATTGGGCCAAATATATATAGTCAAGGTTTTGGGTCCTTTTATGGGGATGGGTGTTACAAAAAATGGAGGCACGGAATCCATATTTTATATCACTCAGCCTGGTGAAGCATTTTGAAAAGCTCAAAACTCAACTTTTGAATCATATTTTTTGCCCAGTAAAAAGAGATTTACTGTAACTGTGCTTTTTAATATAAATACAGCACTTTTTCTTTTGAGCTGAATTTATACGTGTGTCCCCAAGAGTTTTCACAGTGGAAATTATTCCTGTGGCAGTTAAAGGTGCTGCTTTTCCTTTTTAAAAAAAGTTGTGCATTTCTGAAGAGCCTTTTTAATAAGTGGAATTCGACTTAAAAATAAGGTGCATGAGAAGCATGCATCTTGTTTAAAAGAAAAAAGTTTAGGGGATTCCTCACAAATTAGCCAAAGTAGCTTCATCCTAGGTTTACATAACGTTGGTATGTTGAGGAGCTAGCATACTGTGAGTTCAAAAATACTCACTTTTTGCCGTATTATGGTTATTCTATAATTTGTCTCACAGTAATGTATTATCTTGAAGGGACCCAATTCATTCCTGCAACTAAATTTTCAATAATCCTCAATTTCATCCTGAGACAATTAAACTGCATGTAGAGTTGTCAAGTTCCAACATGAGTGTCTTTCAAATATCTCCTTGTTAAAGGTACTTATATATTGATATTTATGAAAAAAGCAGACAATCAGCCCTCTGAATTTGCTGCTTAGATCTGAAAGCAAAAAAGCAAAGTATGCTGTTTATATACCCATATATTGGAATTTATGAAAAAAGCAGACAGTCAGCCCTCTAAATTTGCTTCTTAGTTCTGAAAGCAAAAAGCAAAGTATGCTGCTTATATACCATAGTGCTTAAAGCAATCTCTGGGCAGTATACATATTAGTTATGCAGGCTACATATTGCCCTCCTCCAGAGAGTTGTGTACTAATTAGTCTGAAATTAATGGGAATTAATAAAATTGAGAACTGGTGTAGCTCAGTGAGTTGGAGTGCTTAGCTGCAGAACCAGAAGCTGAGGCTTTGAATTCCCATGGTACATCTGAGAATGGAAAGGGGCCAGCTGGGATCACCTGCAGAATATGCAAGGTTACATATCCTGCCAGTAGTGTCCTGGAAAATAACTTCTGAGTACTTTTGTAGCCAAAAGATTCTGGAAAGATAGCCATAATTTGAAATGACTTGGCAGGCATAACTATTATTATTGACTCTTTTTCTACTGGTAGCTGACCCAAACAGTGACTATGAGAAGATGGAATTTTTGAATCTAGTGCTGCTTTTCTGCGAATTTATACGGCATGATGTTTTCTCCCACGATGCTTATATGTGCACTTTAATATCACGTGGAGACTTATCGGTCACTGCAGCCTCCAGATCACGCTCACCAGCAGGGGAAACCATGGATGAACAGTATGCTAGGGAGCAAGATATGAAGCTGGAGGTAATTTGTTTTTTGTTTCTTTGCCTCTCCTGCAGTAATTTTTTTTTGAAAAGCTGATGTCTGTAACATAACAAATGTGCTCGTAACAGAGCTACCTAGAATGTTTGACTTTGGACTTCAGATTGTCAATGTAGTCCATTAAACATGGACAGTTTTTTTTCTTAGTATATTGGCAGTGTGGAAGCTAGCCTCCCTCCAATATCACCAAGATAATTCATGTGGCTCTTCCTGCCCTTCAGTTTCCAAATGAGTGGTGCTGGTGTGGGAAAGAAGAGCAATACAGGCTCCCCTTTTAAAATGTGCTATGGTCTGTCATGCTTTTGTGATGATACTGGAGGGACTTGCACAGCTGCATCCCCAGCACCACGAGAGTTACATCAGAAGAGGGCCTATGACCACCATATATGTTGTGCCTCCAGTTTTCAAAATATCTCTTTTGTTCCATGCTATATTAATAAAAGGAGGAATAACACACAAACACAGACTACTAGTGTAGTCTGTGTTTGTGTGTGTGTAGAGGTTCTTTTTTCCAATCCTTTGAAAAATTTTGTGGCTAACCTTTTGAACCTCAGCAGCTATTAGCGTCTTTTCTCCCAGACAGTACAGTGGTACCTCGCAAGACAAATGCCTCGCAGGACAAAAAACTCGCAAGACAAATGGTTTTGGCAATGGAGTTGATGACTCCCAAGACAAATGGCCGTGCTTCGCAAGACGAATGTTTTCTGTTTTTTGTTCCTGCCTCATGTTTGCTGATTTTTAAATGTTTTTCTATGATGTTCAAAAAGTTACAGTTTTTTGATTGAAACATTTGAAATTATCTGCACAATATGTATGGCCTTAAAGAACACTGAATAAAGCCTTTGTAAACCAAATTTGACTTTCTTCTGACTTTTTTTGCCCATAGGAACGCATTAATTAAATTTCAATGCATATGGGAAAACGTGTTTCGCAAGACAAATTTTTCGCAGGACATTAGCCGTGGAACGAATTAAATTCATCTTGCGAGGCACCACTGTACTTCAGTAGTTGTCTACCATTAATGAATCAAACACTTTTGGTATAATAGATTCTCTCCCCTGCCCTCATCCTATGTATGCAAACCAAATTTGTTCTAGTGATCTGAAGGAGCATGTAATGCATATTTTAAGGTGTGCTGGGGGATGTAGTGGAGGAAAAAAGATGGAAGTTTCTTTTGGATGAGTCAATATACACTCACATAATATTATTTGGAAATACTGGAATATGCTTTTTCAGTGTTTCTTTCTGCAAGGTTCATTGTAGCTGCTGCACAGCTTTTTGTAAGTATATAAATATGCTTTTTGCTCAGTATATGAATATGCTGCCCCTAGAGAATCTTTATCCCTTTAGAAGAGTCCGGATGTTTTTTTACAACTTTCTCTAGCCTGAAGTAAATGATCCCATAGGAAAAGCAGATGTTTCCTGAGAGATCACTCATCCATTGTAAACAAAATCTGCAGGCCATCTCCTTCAGTACCATCCCCCTGAGCTTGCTTGCTTGCTTTGTTTGTTTGTATCCAAAAAGACTCAACTTTGGTTATTCTGTCTGTTAGCAGCACAATGTGTTTTTTTTCAGTATTGTACTTTTGTGTATTTTCCTTCTTTAACAAAATGATTTTAACAGTTCAAACTGCCCAGTCTCCCAGAGATTATTATACTTTCACTGGTTTTTCTTTTTCTTTCTGGTGACCATTAGGAGCGTAGTATTATGGAACATATGTACATTGATGTGGGGACCACTAATATTTTTGATGACGTAGACAAGAATGACTTTAAGACAGACTTTGGTTCGGAAATTCCAGTAGGTTTACCTTCTGGTATTTTTTTTTTCAAAAACAAAACAAAACAAAAAAACATTTCTCATTTTGCTACATCTTTCAGCACGAGAAACTCTTCAAATATTCTAACAATGCATTTCTTTTAGTCTTATCAAGGTATTTCACATCTTCACTCCATATTCAACTTCTCTTCTCTGAGCCAGCATCATAATCTTAGTTTTGCAAAATCTGCTTCATCTGTTTTCACTGTGGTAACTGTGGTGCCACTTCCACTGTGATCAAAATGGCACCACCATGAACACATCATGAGCACCCAAACATGACCTCATATCTTTTATATTTACTGGGTCCATCATGTTGAAAAACTTGGTTGCAAAAGCAATTTGAGCTTTGCCCACATTTGTTTACAAGATGTGAATGGATAGACAAAGTATCACTCAAGTAAGAATTCATAATGATGGGCTCTTAAAGAGGAGTGTTCTGAACACTGTGCAATTCTGCAGTGTTTCCCCGAAAATAAGACAGGGGCTTGTATTAATTTTTACTCCAGAAAACTCATTAGGGCTTATTTTCAGGGGATTGTTTTTTTTCATGTACAACAATCTACGTTTATTCAAATACTGTCATGTCATCTTTTTCTGGTTGCTGCACAATACTGCACAGTGGTGGAGGGTGGGGTTTCACTTTACTGGGGCTTATTTGGGGGGTAGGGCTTATAATATGATCATCCTGAAAAATCATACTAGGGCTTATTTTCAGGTTAGGTCTTATTTTGGGGAAAACAGGGTAGCTAGATATCAATGGCCAGAAAGAGAACAATGCCATAGGGATGACTCTCTCTGTTTAATCATAAAACACTTTAGATAAAACTATTTCAAATGCCATTGATTAAAACTTGGAAAAAATCCCTTTTCTGGATTCCATCTCCCAGTGTAATGTAAGGCTTCATATTGTAGGATTAATTGGTTGATAGGTGGCATCAGAGTCATTATGTTCTTGTAAAATCTTCCTCTACACCCCTCCTCTCAATATTATTTGCACTTAAACAGGACTCGTTGAAAGATTGTAGTGGAGGATCCAGATGGTAAATTTATTGTGTATTGAACTCTTCTGGTCATTTGGATCACCGACAAGTGTGTATCATGATTACAGGCACCTTCACTTGATCTGAAAAGGTGCAGTGTAGGACTAGCCAAAGTCTCACTAATGGAAAACATATATTTCATGCAGACTGAGACAACCACGAATGTATTCTATTATGTCAGTGCCATCCTTACCTGGAAGATATAGGAATAATAACTATGTAAGCCATGAATTTTTTAACATTACTTGTCATGGCTGCTTTCTTTCTGCCTTTCTACTCTGTGTTCCAAGCCTAGGAACCTTGTACAAGTGGTGTCTCGCATAGCGACGTTAATCTGTGCAGCAAAAATCGCTGCTAAGCGATTTCGTCGCTATGCAATTTTTAAAAGCCCATAGAAACACATTAAAACCTGTTTACTGCATTCCTATTGGTAAAAACTGACCTTAAAGCGAAGATCGTCCATACGGTGGCCATTTTTGCTGCCTCTTAAGCGAGGAATTGGTGCGAAAACACAGCGGGCGTCCATTTTTTTACCCGGCGGCCATTTTGGAACTGCCAATCAGCTGTTTAAAAATCATCGCTTTGTGATGATTGGTAAGCGAAACAGGGAATCGATCATCGCAAAGCGATAAAACCCCATAGGAAACATCGCAATGCGATTGCTTTTGCAATCGCAAAAAGTTAATTGCTATGCAGTTTCGTCGCTAAACGGAGCACCCATTAAGCGAGGCACCACTGTATTTGCAGAGTCTTCTTTTCCCTTTCCTGTAACCATGGAGCTAGTTGAAGGGAGGTACTTAATAACATGGGTTTCCACCATCACTTTGATTTTTTACCTTAATAAAAGAGCACACAGAAAGGTGTGATCCCAAAACAAATTTATTTGGAGAGCTTGTTATTGATTATTGCCTAGAAACAAAGTAATCTGCGAGTGAACTCTCTTTTTTAGGATTACAACTGTTAAAAATGTTATAAAAATTGTTTAGTTATTGCACATTTGAAGACATTTTGACCTCATATTCATATAAATGAAATGGGCTTTTTGTTTGTTGTAATGTTAACTGTTCTTTTTTTTTATGACATAGATCTTTTCTCCAATGCCAGGGGAGTCTTGTGAGAATTTGAATTCCATATCCATAGTAGACAGAAGAATTTCAGTTCACAGTGAAAAATCTGTGAAGAGGGAGAAAATGAGGGATCTGATCTTCCCATCAAATTACAACCTCCTGCGCCATTTACAATATGCCACACATTTCCCTATACCTCTGGTACGTGCCTACTTTCTATCTTCAATGAGTTGTATGCAGCCATGTTTTTGAATAATTATATATGTTTTGTAGGAAGCAAATTGAGCTCACTGCTGCCTAAGGCTGCCTAAGTAATGAAAACTATTTGAGTTGGATTAGGCCACATCCTTTCACCATATTGACTCTCACTGAGAGCAATGAGAAGTAAACTTAGTTATGACTAAAAATTGTTCCATTATATGCAATGGGAATCATGATATCTGCAGTTTGTTTGCCCCAATCATGTTATATTCTTTAAGTTGATGCTATCTTTGTATTAATAGTGTCCCCATCCATTCTTTGGTTCATGTTCTATGCTGGCTCAAATCTCTGAGAATTAAATAAATCCCAGCAACAGAGTCATTTCTTTTAAGAAAGCAAGATAAGTCATGGACATGTAATATGTTCATGGACACATCAGAAAGTTTCAAAATTAAAAATGAGTAATTCTACAGTGTAAAAACTGGTTCTGTTTCCATCTTATGTGTTTGAAATCCAATGATCACAGTGAAACTTCCAGATATACACCTGCTTGGACGGTTTTCTTCTACTTTCTTCTGAACACAGAGGCCTTAGAGAGCAGAAATTGCACTAAGAGTTTAAGTAAAGTTAAATCATGGGTATTCAGTTATGTGTGATGAACAGGTTAAGATCATTGCATGTAATTTATTTTTGAACAGCTATCTTGTTATTCACTTGATATGATTAATAGCACTTTTGCTGATGTGAGATATTTGAGTAAAGACCGATTAAAGCATCATTTTTTAAAAAACAAAACCCACATGTAAAACAGATATCGATGACTCAGAGTGGGGACATATTGGAGGGAAGATGTGGTGAGTTCAGCATTTCTTTTCTCCCAATTACTTCCAAGTTTGTCTCTTAATAATAAGAAATAATTACAGTAATAAACAATAAAAAGCCTGGCATGGTTTTATTACACACATTTTGGTGTGATCCTTTCCCTGCCTCCTGCTTGCTTGCATTCATTTCCGGAGGAAGCAGTCATTCACAGCCGGGGGTGGGTGGGTGGGAGGGGTGTAGCACTCTGCTCATTATCCCCAGGATTTTCACTTTTACCCAGTTTGGGGTAATTTATCCCTGTCTCCCGACCTATGGTTTAAACAGAGGCAAATGCTAATGATGCAAAACAAATAAGCAAGTGGTTCAGTACTGTGATTCACAGCAGATAAATGCAAAAGTCGCTTGTATGAACTTTGGCTTTTAGCAGATGTTGACAATGGAAAGTGGTTGTTCAGTGGTTGTACCCTATTTCTGAAGACTGTTCTGTTTTGGACAGTCACTTTGGTAGGCCTGTTTGCTTTTGCTTTTTAATTCTGCTTTCCCATGTTTTAATTCTGGTACTTTCATGATACTCATGTAAATCTATTTTTAATCCCAACGAGACTAGACTTTTTGAGTCAATCGAACTTACATAAATGCTGACTTAGAAAGCTCGCATTGCCTGGAATCCTGATGGCAAGGTGCACTGTGCAACATGGACGATGCCATCGCTCGCAGCCCTGCCATGGCTGTTTTGGAGAAATTAAAAGCTTCCTATGGATCCCTTTAATCTTAGGGATAACCTTATTGTTTACTTAAAATATTTTTATCCTGCATTTCTCCATAAAAAGGAACCAAGCTGTTTACATCATTAAAAGGGCAATATACAAAAATAAGTAAGCATAGTTGGAGAATCACTCCCTACCCTGTTCTGTGGCTTCTGTGGGTGGGTGAGAATAGCAGGCCTTTAATTCACCTGAAATAGCTGTGGCATGGTCACAGCTGGTGACATTGTTTGAGTTGAACAGCATAATATGTATAACAGGATTCCTGCCATTGATTTCATGGGCCTTCTGTAGTTGGGATTAACAGTTGAATTTAGGACATTGAAATTATCATGCTTTTATTACTTCTCCGGTGTAGGAGTGTAGGTGTTTCATTGTGATACACTGAAGGGTGGAGTGTAATAAATCATATAACCCCAAGTCATAGTCGAGCATTGAATCTGAAGGGGCCCAGTGTATTTGCTTCCATAGATCAGATCCATCAAGAATAGTCTTCTCTTCAAAGGGATTCAAAATGTGCTCAAATGTGTCCTATCAGCTAATTGACCAAAATCCAGTAAGTGCCTATGATATTTGTGTAGCCCGATTCTGCAATAGGAAATAGCAATGATTATATATTACAAAGTTATCCGTCAATTTCCCTGGTGCAAAGTACAGAAAATGCAAGATCCCTGCTACCAAAGCTCTAACAGCTCTGGCCACTGTGCACAACAGCTGGGAGTCAAATTCATTTTCAATTTGCAGCACATTTATCCTCTGGAAAGACCTGCAATGTCTCAGTTGAAAAATCAGTTTGTTTTGCCTGTTTCCCACACGTCTCGGTATCATCTGAGGAAACTCTTTTATCTTTACTTGATCCCAAAGTCTTGATGACTTTCATTCTAAATGTATTTGATAGATAATAATACAAAATAGGATCAAAACACAGATTTGACATGCCAAACAGCAGGGTGGATTCTTTTGCTTTGAAGAGAGATTGTCTGAGAGAGCAGTCTGTGGTGATAGCTTTGCTTTGACTCAGGGTGTATGGAATCCGAACAATATGGTAAGGAACAAAACAAATGATGTAACTAGCAGTAACTAGGAGTATGTTCACCAGAGCCTTTTTTGCATTGTGATAATTTCCACAGTATTTGTTTTGATAGAGCAGTTTGATTGTGAGGAAATTAGAGATCAACACCATGGCTGAAAAATTTAGAAATATTGCAGAACATATGAAGTTGGTAAACACATGCCAGTCTCTTCCTACTTTTGTTTTGAAATCAATACAGCCCACTGTTGGTGCTTCTTGAATTTCTTGGATTGGAATTGCCATGTTGGGCACCATAATAAAGAGCACCATTACCCAGACTACTGCAGATATCATCCTGGCAAAACCAGGTTCCTGGATGCGATAGATCTTGCATTTCTGTATTAATTGAAGGCAACGATCCATGCTAACAAATCCCAAGAATATGATTGATAAGTACATATTGATATAGATGAAGCAAGCTGTGACTTGACAGTGGAATATTTTCAGTTTCCAGGAGGCAATTCCTAAGTCAACAGTGATCTTCATTGGCAAGGCAAGGGTCAGCAAAAAGTCTGCCGTTAGGAGATTAATTAAATAGATGTTCATTGATTTGCACTTGTCCTCTGTGTGTGTAAAGGTCCATAGGGCAAAACAGCTCCCAATGAATCCGATAAGAAAGATCAAATAATAAAAGTAGGTGAACGGCTCCATGTCAGAATAAATGTTACAGTCTGAGGAATTGGTTAAAGACATCTTAGCCAGTCCCTGCCTGTTACAGGAGGGGCAAAATCTGTGCACTCTTCTGAGGACCAAACCTGTGGACATGAAGACATGGGAGAGGGAGGGAGGGAGATATAAAATGTTAGACTACGTGATAGACACTGTTTGGTTCTCCCTTGTCTTAAGAAAATATATAACTAGACCTGAGAATGGTTTCAAGAAACTCAAGAACATTTACCCACTTCACCCCTCTGTCACCTTAAAATAATATTCTGACACAAAAGTGTACTAGAAATTCATCATGAGGGATTCTCAGTGCTCCTTCTCACTGTACACACCACCATGGAGCAGGCCCTAAAATAGGCTTTGTCCTGTGTTCAGTCATGGACTGATCAGAAGCTGCTAGTTGCAATGTGTATGCATTTTCCCTTTAGTGCTAAAGATAGCAAAACTTTGTATATCAGCTGTGTGACTGTGAAGATTCTGTTGCACTCATGTCTTGTTTGAGTGCAAGTCTTCCCATAGGTTACTGGATGCTTATGTTTGGAGACAAAACATTAGATTATAGTAGCAGTCAGCCATTCGTTTTATTTTATTTTTATATTTGTCCTGAGTTTTCTTGTACCATTGGTTTAGTTTTGTTTTGTTTACACTTTTCCAAACCTAGTATATTTTCCTTTACACTACAGTATTGCATTTCCTTTACATAGTCTTAAATTTGCAGATGGTGTTTTTTTTTCCACAACATGGATGGGTAATATTTGGGGATTCTCATCCATTAATCAGTGGTATCATAACCGTTTTTAGTATCTGGTCTTCATAACCTCTTATTTGTGTTGTAGCTGTATTATTGTTAGTCTTTGCATGCTCAAGAGGAAGTGGTTGTTTTGAACCTTTCTAAGAAATGAAAGCAAGATAATGTTCTCCAGATTAGGAAGCTTAAACCTTCAGCTTCTAATGACACTCATGTGAATGCCATTAGAAGCTCATTTCATGAGCTGAGAGATGTTTCAGATCCAGATGAATGGCTTATACTGGGGATTAGCAGCAGGTTTCTATTAGGGTTCAGGTTAGCGGAAAGGCTAAATGTGCACATCTTGTATTTTCTGAACTTAGTGAGAGCTCTAGTGATCTTCCCCATCCTCTAGGACCCAACCTGTTGCAACAACCAGAATGCATCACTTCTGCTTTTCAACCTCACTGTTTGTCAAATAGTTTCCTGGAACATTATTTTTGCCAGTACCTTACAAAAAAGTTGTCAGATAACAAAATGCAGTAAGTTTGTTGGGACAAGTTTTGACTCACCTGCCTTTTGTCTGTAAAAACAGCAACAACCACAACCCTCTTTACAAGGCAAATGGCCGAAACTTTGGGATGTTCTTTTCATGTGGCAAGATCATGAAAATGCCTACTTTAGTAGTCTTATGTCTGTGTGCGTTTAGCAACTTAACACGAATATGGGGCCATGAAATGTCTTCTCTGTGATCCTTTTCAGTGGGTGAGTTAAGCAGATTGTAAAACCTCCCCCCCACACTTTGGTATTGCAGAGCACAGAGAAATCTAGCTTAAAAACATATCTTGAATTGTCAGTTTTGTAGCAATGAGAAGTTACCCCAAAGGGGCACGTCAGTTTGAGTTTTTCCCCGGCTTTTCCTTTAAATGCAAGTGCTTTAAAGTAAAGGCAGGGCTGCAATGTGTGTTATTCACTTTAGCAGGCATATGGCATCATATTTGTGCCAGTATTTTCAGGTTAACATAGGCAGACATACAAAGTTGAGATTAAACAACAACTTTGGTAAACAAACCTGGTTTATCTAACTATGGTACTTAATGTGACCCATCCTGAGACACAGGCTTTCTGTTGGAACAACCTGTGCTGCTCTTAGTTGAACCATACCTTCCTGCTTGATGTCCTGCCAGAGTTGTGAAAAGAAAATTTAAAATGGCAATAAGGCACCCAAGCAGACAAATGTAGTCAGTTAAAGATCTTACGGTTAACTGCAGGCCCCTCATAGGAGAAGGAATATTCTAGGAGAAGTAGAAAAATGTCCAGTCCCCCAAAGGTCCCTCCTTACTTCTGTTGTAAAGAAGCCAACCTTCTTTCAAGTAAATGGGTTGAGTTTTTTCCTCCTGAAATTTGTGACCAGTTATGGTAAGTGTTGAATCATGTTTAAGAAGCTGTTGAGATATATTAATCTTATGAATACATCACTCTAGTAGGGTCAGAGGTTTTCAGTTTGAGATGTTCTCTTCCAGACCTCAGTTCTTCCCTTAGGTTTCTCTAAACATGGGCCCCATAAAGATATGGGTGGAGATGATTAATAATGACTGTGTAATAGGGTAAGTGTCTGATTGGTAAAGAATGACATTCATGTTACTGGAATGGAACATACACCACCGCCTCCTAATGTGGATGAACTCTGAGCTGAGGAGAGCATGAAATAAACTACTGTATCACATATGACTAATTGCAACCAGACTTTCAAAGCTTACTTTAGCTTTACAGGAGAGGGAGTGGGGGAAATAAAAGGTCTAGACATTGTACTTGCTTCAGTTTTTTTTTTAAATTTAGTTTGCATTCATAGGATTGAAGAGTTAACCCTTCCACTTTCCAATAGCACTGCTCTGAAAAAGATTTGGAGTCTTCAACATTCATATTAAAATAAAACACAAACAAAGAACCAGCTTGGCAATTCTGTAGTGGACTATTTTGATGGATCTTTCATGACATTGGGCCATCAGACCTGTATTAGTGTCCTCCTATGGAATACGAGTCTGAAATTCTAACATGTCAAGGATTAGGATGCATTCCCTGTGTTCCCTTTTATTGATAATAAACCTGACTACTTTTCAGACCTTTGTGGTGGTGTATCTACTGCTCTAGTGGCATCTATTCTAATTGGCCTGGACAGATAATATCAATCTGTTAATTATGTGGTCATACCTGTTCCCATAATTATCTAAAGTGGTAATGTTCAAAAATTAAATTAACACCAATGTGTAATAGGAATTGGGGAGGGCCTCATATAAAGATGTTTCCATTGACAATTGACTGTGGTAGTATTACTCTTACATCACTATTTGTCATTACTCAGAAAAATCCGTAACAAACGTCTTAGTTCACTAGACTGACTTTCAATCACTGTTCGTCACAGGTAGCTTTCAGTCACTATAAGTTATAGGAAATGCATCATTAATTTCATAACATTTAAAGTATTATTTAAAACAAAATCTATTGTTACCATATCTAACATTTCACTAAGTGCTTGGAATATAGTGGCTTTCATTTCTTCATGAAATTGTTAAATTTAGAATTCAGTACGTCTTCTAGCAAGGAGTGCTGTGCAGAGTAATTAAATGCACATTTGGGACTATCAACTGAGGACGTCAGGATAGATAGTTCCATGCTTATGGAAATGAATATTTGTCTCTCAGGCTAGTGATATATGTGGCATCTGTTGTAGTTTCCCGTAGTGGTGTGGTAGCTGTTGAAATGTGCCCTTGTGCATGCGATCAAATGCCTATGTGGTTATGAGTAGTAATTTGCCATATAGCTGGGCTAACATGACTGTTATTGAGGTGTAGACTTGATAAACAATAGATCTGATACATATGAGCCAATTACCTATATCCTGAGCTTGGAAAAATAGCTCTCATTTAGAGGCCAGTATCCCATTGGTGATTTATATATTCATTATGCCCAGGAATATAACTGGCACCTTGCTAATGGGCAACAATTTGCTGCCATGACGTGTGATTTCCCTTGTACAAGCATAGGTTGCTGACTAAATTCTGGCCGTAGAGTCTGAGGAATCTAGCTTAAATAGTAAGAAAGATGGCTTGAACAAAACTGTCTTTCGTTGTATTTAATTTATCCTCAGCGATTAATAATTCTGAGTATTTCCAAATGGGTGGCTTCCTAGCTCTGTCAGTTAAAAGAAACAGTACAGATAATATCTTTCCTTCCTTGACAGGTTTTTCTAGAGTAAGGAGAAATATGGAGGAAAGACAATGTTATCTAGATCCATGAAGAAGGCACGGTGATTGAACTATAAAAGTGCCATTTGGAAGCAAGTCCAAAGTGTTTGATTTCTTAAAACATTTCTTCATGTTTTCAACCCATAGTAAGGAAACAAAAATACTCAGCAGTGGAGACAAATCTACTTCAGTTTACAAATGTACTTTGGAATGTGGTGTAATAAAGGGATTAAAGCTAGTTGGAACATTGTATTCATCTTCTGAGAAAAAGGCATTCTCTTCAAGGAAATTATAGAAGAAATCTGTCTGTGGTCATAATGCTGTGAATGCTTGATATATTTTCAGCTCCTGGCACAGAGGAACCAAGACAGGGGGAGCTTTTCATAGTGACCACCATGCTTGGTGGAATACCTGAGTGATAATTTTCCTTGTTACAAGTACCAGTAACATGCATGTTTTGTATTCATATTTGTGCAAATAATCTTAATTATCATGGTTAAGGTCTTAAAAAGTACATACCTCCTTAATTAACTGTTGTAATCTTGAAAGCTTTGAGGGATCCAGGTACAGGTGCTCTTTAGTGTTGTCAAGTGATCAGTCTTTGCTTAATGATGGGGTAATTTTTTCTTTCTCTGTACAGTTGCTCAGCTGGCTTTCTTGCTCTTCATATAGTTGGTGCCTAGCAAAAGAGGCTTTCTTGTGGCTTTCAAAGCTGCAAACAGACGCATATGAAACTGACTGAAGGTGTATGTTTGTCTATGCTCTTCCTGAACTGCAAGGATTGCTCAGAAGAAGAGTGTGTGGGGAAACAATGTTTGAGTTTGTTTCTTATGGCAGAATAGTAAGCAACTTTGCTGAAGCCACTGTGAAAGGCTATTATACTGCACATGCATTTACTTTCTTCTTCTTCTTCCCTTTCTTTGTCTTTTCCTCCTGGAGGTTGGACATCATCATAGTTATTTTGATTGTGGATGCAGCAGTCCTAAAAAAATATTTCTCTGTCACATCAAAGCTAATCTCCTGGGTTCTTCAGCAAAGAAGTTCTCATCCTTACCTTTCACTTCTCATTTATTTTACCTGGAATGATTAGTTTTAATAACGCTTTTCATTTCTTGTTTTAAAACCAAAATATTCAAGATTTCTGCATTTTATGTGTTTTATTATTTCTTGGTTTTTTTAAATTTCCTTTAGTACTTTTTCATTGGTCACATCCAGGATCCAAGACATTCTTAGCATTCTGCAAGAAGTCTATACTTCAAATGCTTCTGTATTGTGCATGATAGTCTGTGTTGAAATTCACAGCACTATGCAATACAGTAGAACCAAGAATGGAAAAGAAAAATTGGCTTGCTTCTTGCGTGGAAACATAAGCAGATGTATGTTGCACCTCAACAGAGGTTTGCCAGTGACAGATAGAAAAGGTATGACAAACCTCTGTTGAGGTGACTGAAAATAGTTCCTCTTTACAGATCTATTTCCTATGTAGGTTCCCACCAGCTTGGAAAATTTGCTTTGTGGACCTCAATTCCCAGAATCCTCTAGTGGTTATTGTAGCTGAGGCATTATGAAGAGAATGTGGTCCAAAACTGATTCTGTTTCTCAGTTCTTGGGCTCAATAGCAGCTAATTCCTACAAAAAAGGATATTACAGGTTCAACCCAACAATATCAACAACTGCTCATGGGAGCTGCTTATGGGAGTTCTGAGAAACAGAATTAAAACATGATTGTATTCACAAAGGCTTTCATGGCCGGGATCTAATGGTTGTTGTGGGTTTTTCAGGCTCCTTGGCCGTGTTCTGAAGGTTGTTCTTCCAGATAGGCGGGATATGAATAAATGAATGAATGAATGAATGAATGAATGAATGAATGAATGAATAAATAAAATAAATAAATAAATAAATAAATAAATAAATAAATAAATAAATAAATAAATAAATAAATAAATAAATAAATGAAATTTCGCCAGTCTCTGTGGCCAGCATCTTCAGAGGACAGTGCAGAGTCCTCTGAAGAGGATCGCTCCAGAGTACAGAGTGCTGTCCTCTGAAGATGCCGGCCACAGAGACTGGCGAAACGTTAGGAAGAACAATCTTCAGAACACGGCCAAAGAGCCTGAAAAACCCACAACAACCACTAAAATATGCTTGCTTCTATAGTGGCCACAGATCTTGAAGATAACATGGCACTAAGCTGATGCCTTGCTGATGAACTTCTGTGGTTACCACCACTGTCCTAGAGACAACTCAAATCCAAATGAATGTGTATTGAGCTATATAGTCAAAGCACACGATACTCATCACCATCAGCATACTGTGGAAATCGAGAAATGACACCTTGTAGGTGGGAACCATTTTCACTGCAGAGTTTAGAAGAGTTACTATGGCCAAGCTCTGTCCACCTAACCCGTTGCCACCTAACCTGTTGCCACCTACAGTGACCTGCTACTCACTGTGCACTTTCTATTAGTACTTCTGAAATCAAGCTGAAAAAGATCTTGCTGAAAAATAAATGTATTTACTTTATTTTGATAGAAATTCAGGCATATATTATTCACATCTGTATGAAATTAGAAAAAACAAATATATTTACAGAATTCCAGTAGTAAAACAAAGAAGTACATTCAGAATACCAAAGCCAAAAAGTACTGAAAGGTCTGTGGTTCAACTGTAGCTGTTCATGTTGGTTTAGATCTATTTTCAAGGACACAGAAAAAAACAAGGTCAAATCCATGGAAGCATGGAGCAGACCAGGCACTTGAACAACTCATGTGGATAAATATTGCCAGTTGCCTAATCTGCCAGTCACACTTCCAACATAAATTGCAGACATTTAATAAATTTCAAAGAAAAGTACAGGTACAGCTTATTTCTCACATCCAGGTGGCTTTTTTTTACCACAAAAGAAAGCAAAGTCTTGTGTCACCTTTAAAAACTAATAGGTCTATTTTTTCGAAAGCTTTCATGGATTCTAATCTATTCCTGACTCCTTGCAGTGCAGAAAGCCTCATTTTTGAGATGCAAATTTGTTGGTGTAACCTGTTCCTGCTGAACAGAATAAACCAAGAAAATTACAAGCGGGTATGCACTAGCTATTGGGTTTCTGTCCAAGAAAAGTTACTTGGATGTAAGGCTAGAATTCAATTCTATATTAAGTGTATCATCCATTTATTCAACCAATGTTTTGACTTTATCATCCATTAAAGCAACAATGGTTCATTGTAGAAACCTTTCTTTATGACAAGACTAGATAGTTTAGTTCTCATACTAAGAGTTGAATGTGCTGTTTATTGCTTTTATATCCTACAGTATGGAGAGAGTTTGGACAAGTTTACCTTTTTAGATGAGAGCTCCCATAATCTGTCACCCAAAATGACTGTTAGTCATCCTGGCTGAGCTACTTTGGGAGTTGTAGTCCACAAACAAGTAAATGTTTTCCAAGCTAGGTGTGGATGTATGGAACATTCAGGTTAGTTAATACTGCTGACTGGGATTGTCTCAAAATGAACATGCTACGGAGTCTGACATGGGAAAAGAAATATATTTCTCAGATGCCTCTTTCTTGCTGTACACTAGATTGTCTAATACTGTACGAAGTATTACAACTTCCCATTGAATTGCATAGCTTAAAGTTCCAGCCCTTCATCTTTACTACATACCGCGAAAAATACGGTATATTAAAAATGGGTAAATTGGGGGTTGTGCCGGTGACACAGGATGGGGTTGTGTTCAAGAGAATTCTTGCCAAGTGAGCTTAAGCGAATCACTAGAGAGAGAAGTGAAGGTACAGTATGGATAAAAATCAATGGACAAAGAATGATCCAAATAAAAAGTTAATTTTTAAAATTTATATTGTAAAAAAATCTGTTTTTTAAAAAAAATTAAATTATGCCTTTAAACTAAATCCACCCCGTGAAGGTATATGTGTGAACACAGAGTGGTCAGCTATTAGAGGAAGTAAGTAGTGTCGAAATAAAATGTAATGAGAAGAGTAAGTGGGAGAGTGTAATATGTAATGGGTTTGTGCTGAATTGTTTTGAGTGACCATGAGACTTTTAAAAAAGGAGTAGATGCTTTTAAAGCAAAACAAGAATTACTAAGGGAATGAAGAGATGGGAAATCTGAGAGGAGCAAAAAAAAATAAGGATGTGAATGTTGTGGAGTCAAAGAGCATACTGCAAAGTTGGGGGCGAGGAAACCATGAGGCCATTTGATGAGAAAATAAGTCTGGAGAGACAGGGAGAAAAGATGAAGTGAGCAAGTGAAATGTCACGAAGGTAGTTGTGGGAGTGAGGAGGACATACTGGGAAGAAAGTAATTGGTAGGTAGTTAGGATACATTAAAAGCAGCAGCAGCCAAGCAGCAGCAGCCACCCAGAGAAAGAAAGTTGGCGGTGGGTGACTATTTAGGAGTAGCAAACTGATAAAGTTACCTTAAGTACCCAAATTACTGGACATCTTATCCTGTTTCTTTGATCTAATGATGTGCCCATCTCTTCTGCATGTTGCAAGTAGCTTAATCTCAGATGTTATGAAACAACAGCTGTTTCACAAATTGCATTTGACTTTTTTGCATTTGATCTTGAATTTTCAAATTCCTCAGATGTCCTCACCTTGAGGTGCAATTTTTGGTACAGTCTTTCTTTGAAAGGTTGGCAGAGGAACACATAAATGATAGGATCAAGGCAAACATTTGCAGCAGAGAGTAGTAAAGTGAGTTCCTTTATGTAAAAGAGCGTTGCTTGTAGAGAACAGATATAATGTGGTGAGGTTTGGCTCAATGTGTATGGGATTCTGCCAATGTGGTATGGAACGAAACAAATGAAAAACACAAACATTATGGTGAAAATATTTCGATTTGTTTTTTTCTTTGCCAGTTTTGAGGTGTTTTTGAACTTCTGTTGGGAGAAATAAATCTTCCTTGCTATAGAAGTATAGAAGATTATCAGGAGGAGAAACACAACCCAAAAAATAGCTAGGCATGCATAATTTGAAGATTTGTGCCATTGGACTCCAAGTTCACTTTTCAGATCCACACACTTCTTGGAAGTGTTTTTGGTAGGAGTTTTGTCTGTCAAAATAATATTCGGAAGTGATATAAGCATTTGCAGTGCCCATATGATGAGGCAGATGATTTTGCTGCATCGAACTGTTTGTGAAGAAGTGATAAACTGAGGCCTCACAACTTTACAGCATCTGTCAAAGCCTATGAGTCCAAACAGGGTTATGCTGATATACATATTTAGATAAAAAATAACAGCAGAAAAACGGCAGACAACAACATTGAGTTGCCAGGGTCCAATGTCTGCATCAGCAAAAATCTTAAAAGGGAAAGTTAAGCACATGAGGAGGTCAGCCGTGACAATGTTCTTGAGATAGACGATGAAGCTGGTTTTGCTGGGAATGTGTACAAAGACCCAGGCTGCGACCCCATTTAGCAGGATTCCTCCAATAAAGATGAGACCATAGGCCAAGGGAAGAGCGTGCTTTCTAATTTCCTTGCTGTAGGTGCAGTAATTTCCTGAAGTGGTGCTCAAATTGTTGCTTGAACTGAACATTTCTAGTGCATTTTCAGTACCTATAAGCAGAGAAAGAAAAGGCGCTTGTAAGAAATGTCTGTTCCATTGGTTACATTACTTTCCATTAGATTATCTTGATGAAATACATGAAATGGCGACAGAAATATATTTTAGATTGCAATTTTTATCATTCCCTGTCATGCTGTCTGGGGATGATGGGAACTGTATTCCAGCATATCTTAAGGGTGTGGAAATGTGCACCAGTGTACCACTAATTACTTGTGAATGGCCATTGTTATTATTTTTGAGCTGAAGTCATGGGTACATAATGTTTTTAGGAACTAGGGTGCTGCTGGTTAGTCAGAGCTTATGCACACATGCAAGTATACATACGTGCACCCACATACCTCAGTACATGCCTGTCTCTTAAGTAATTTCTACTGAAATAATTGTTTACCTGTCACAATTTCACCAGGTAAACTTTGGTCTGAGAAGATATGGAACAATGAGGTAGTGGGATAAAATAAGAGATATTTTGTCTATACACACCTGTCAGTTGAGAAGATGCAGGGTGTTGGAGACTTCGGTCTAGCAGTGATTGTGTCTAAGGTACAGGATGACACCAAATCAAAGCATTTGGGATCAGATGCAGTTATGATTTTTAGCCTTTTTCCTTCAAACATATGATGCACAGCTCAATTCCTTGAGCATTTATTCAGGAATAAACCTCAGTGCAACAGTTCCCTACGCAGCAAAACTGAGCTTAGTCCCATGGAGTAGTTCCTCAGAGTGTAAATTGGGGCAAAAAGGCAAAAGTAACATGGTAATTAGAGTCTACTACCAGCCACCCAATCCAAGAGAGGAAGTGGATGAAATTTTTGAAAAACAAGTTGTAAGGATGTCAAAGAGACACAATGTAGTAGTGATGGCAGATTGCAATTATCAGGATATTAGCTGGGAAGGAAATTCTGCAAAGTATGATCCTTCCAAGAAATCCCTGGCTTGTGTGGCTGATAATTTCCGCCATCTTTTTTGTTGTTTAGACATTAGGTTGTGTCCAACTTTTTGTGACCCCATAGACCAGAGCATGTCAGGCCCTCCTGTCTTCCACTGCCTCCCAGAGTTTGGTCAAATTCATGTTGGTAGCTTTGATGACACTGTCCATCCATCTCGTCCTCTGTCGTCCCCTTCTCCTGTTGCCTTCACACTTTCCCTACCTTCACTGCCCTTCTTTGGGACTGGGATGTAGATTGATCTTTTCCAATCCTCTGGCCACTGCTGAGTTTTCCATACTTGATGGCATATTGAGTGTTGCACCTTAACACTATCATCTTTTAAGATTTTAAATAGTTCGACTGCAGTGGCACCACCTCCACTCGCCTTGTTGTTAGCTATGCTTTCTAAGGCACACTTGACTTTGTTGGACAACCATTTTGCTTTCTTGCATTTCCTTTTCTTTGAGATGGTTTTTGTTGCTTCCTCCTGTACAATGTTACGAGCCTCCATCCCTAGTTCTTCAGGCACTCTGTCCACCAAATCTAATTCCTTAAATCTGTTCTTCACTTTTACTGTGTATTCATAAGGAATTTGGTTTAGATTATACCTGACTAGCCCAGTGGTTTTTCCTACTTTCTTCAGTTTAACCTTGAGTTTTGCTATAAGAAGCTGATGATCAGAGCTACAGTCATCCCCAGGTCTTGTTTTTGCTGACTGTATAGAGCTTCTCCATCTTTAGCTGCAGAGAACATAATAAATTTGATTTTGATATTGCCCATCTGGTGATTTCCATGTGTAGAGTCGCCTCTTGTGTTGTTGGAAAAGAGTGTTTGTGATGACCAGCTTGTTCTCTTGACAAAACTCTCTTAGCCTTTGTTCTGCTTCATTTTGAACTCCAAGGCCAATCTTACCTGTTGTTCCTTTTATCTCTTGACTCCCTACTTTAGCATTCCAATCCCCTGTAATGAGAAGAACATCTTTCTTTGGTGTCAGTTCTAGAAGGTGTTGTAAGTCTTCATAGAACTGGTCAATTTCAGCCTCTTCAGCATTGGTGGTTGGTGCATAAACTTGGAGTACTGTGATGTTGAAAGGTCTGCCTTGGATTCATATTGAAATCATTCTATCATTTTTGAGATTGCATCCCAGTAGAGCTTTTCCCTCTCTTTTGTTGACTATGAGGGCTACTCCATTTCTTCTACAGGATTCTTGCCCACAGTAGTAGATATAATAGTCATCTGAATTGAATTTGCCCATTCCTGTCCATTTTAGTTCACTGATGCCCAGGATGTCAATGTTTATTCTTGCCATCTCCTGTTTGACCACATCAAACTTATCAAGGTTCATAGATCTTACATTCCAGGTTCCTATGCACTATTTTCCCTTGCACCATCGGACTTTCCTTTCACTTCCAGGAGCATCTGCAGCTGTGCGTCTTTTTGGCTTTGGCCCAACCGCTTCATTAGCATCTTCCAGCATCATATCTTTTAGCATTTTGTTTCTGTTCATGGGGTTTTCTTGGCAAAGATACTGGAGTGGCTTGACAACTCCTGCTCCAGGTGGATCACGTTTAGTCAGAACTGTTCACTATGACCTTTCCGTCTTGGGTGTTCCTGCATGGTATAGCCCATAGCTTCTCTGAATTACTCAAGCCCCTTCGCCTCTTCGCCACGACAAGCATCAATCTGTGAAGGGGCTTGAGTAATTGAGCTATCTTTTATTTGATTCTGATAGAGATGACTTGGTGGAGGAAGTGGCAGTAAGGGGAACTCTGGGTGAGAGTGACCATGTTCTAGTAGATTTCAAAGGAAACCAGAGCAGAGTATAACCACACACATATGCTGGATTTTTTAAAAAAGCCAATTTTAATAATCTCAGAACAAGGATGAGTAAGGTCCTATGGCAGGAGATCCTAGCAAGAAAATGATTCCAAGGAGGGTGGGAGTTTCTTAAAAAAATAAATTCTAAAAGCGCAGCTACAAACAATTCCAACAAGAAATAAAGGTGGGAGGCAACAAAAAAAAAGGCTAGCGTGGCTTCACAAAAAGCTCAGGGAGGACCTGAAAGCAAACAAAACAGTACATGTATAGGAGGTGGAAAAAAGGCCAGGTCACCAAGGAAAAGTACAGACAAGTAGCAAGGAAATGCAGGGATGGCATTAAGAGAGCAATAGCTGAGAATGAACTGAGTTTAGCTAGAGACACTAAAAACAATCAAAAATAATTCTTCAGGCAAAGAGACAATTGCACAGATACTGAATGGAGATGGGAAAAGGATAATAGATGACAAAGAAAAGGCAGAGGTGCTAAATTCCTATTTTAATCCAGTCTTTTCCCATAGGACAGACTATGAACCTCTAGACAAATGTGAAGTGCAAGTGGAGGGGATGAGATTGCAGCTGGAAATTGATAAACAAATAGTCAAGGAGTACCTTACCACCTTGAATGAGTTCAAATCTCCAGGGCCGGATGAACTGCATCTGAGAGTACTGAAGGAACTGGCTGAAGAACTCTGAGAACTGCTGTCCATTATTTACTTGATATCATGGGAAATGGGTGAGGTGCCAGACGATTGGAGGAGGGCTAATATTGTCCCTCTCTTCAAAAAGAGCAAAACAATGAACCTGGGAACTACAGCCAGTCAGCCTGACGTCAATCCCAGGGAAATTCTGGAACAAATTATAAAACAGTTACTATGCAAGCACCTAGAAAACAATGCAGTAATAACTAGAAGGCAACATGTATTCGTCGAGAATAAATCCTGCCAGACTAATCTGATCTTATTTTTTTGATTGGGTAACCTCCCTGATGGGCAGAAGAAATACAAGTATATCTTGACTTTAGCAAAGCTTTTGACAAAATGCCTCATGATATTGTTATTAGCGAGGTAACTATGTGTAGGCTGGATAGATCAAGTGTCAGGTGGATACGCAATTGACTAGAGAACTGTACTCAGAGGGTGATGATTAATGGCTCCTTCTCCAACTGGGAGGAGGTAACACGTGGGGTACCCCAAGGCTCAGCCCTGGGTCTGGTGCTCTTCAATATGAGCCAGCAGTGTGATATGGTTACAAAAAAGGCAAATACTGTTTTAGGCTGCATTAACAGAAGTATAGTTTCCAGATCCCACAAGATGCTAGTCCTCCTCTATTCAGCACTGGTTAGGTCTCACCTTGAATATTGTGTCCAGTTCCGGACACCACACTTCAAGAACGATGCCAACAAACTGGAAAAAGTTTAGAGGAGGGCAACAAGGATGATTAGGGGGCTGGAAACCAAGCATTAGGAGGAAAGGCTGAAAGAACTGGGCATGTTTAGCCCTAAGAAAATATGACAGAGGGGTGATATGATAACACTTTTCAAATACTTGAAAGGCTGTTGTACAGAGGAGGGGCAGGATCTGAGTGCTGGACACACAACAATGGGCTCAGGTTACAGGAAGCCAGATGTCGGTTTAATATGAGGAAAAACTTCCTGTTAGAGCAGTACAACAGTGGAACCAATTACCTTGAGAGGTGGTGAGTGCTACGACACTGGAGGCATTCAAGAGAAACTTAAACAACCACCTGGCAGATATCCTTTGATTTGTATTCCTGCATCAAGCAGGGAGTTGGACTTGACCTTATAGGCCCCTTCCAACTTCACTATTCAGTGATTCTAAATAATCTCCTCTTCTTGTTGTTATGTGCCTTCAAATTGGAACTAACTCACGTAACCCTAATAGGGCTTTCAAGGTAAGTGAGATATTCAAGGAATAACTTTACCAGTTTCACACCCATTGTGAGTTTCCATAGTTGAGTGAGGATTTGAACCCAGGCCTCCTGAGTCTATCTACTACAACTTACTGAGTATCCAAATAACTTCTTATCTCCAACTAACAGAACTTGTTTGTGGGGCAAATTGAGAACTCCTATTACTAACATTCATTTTGTAGACTGGCAAAAGTAAATGAGAGGGCAGGCATTTGTGGGCAAAAAATGTTGGAGGGTAGGCATGTACATCTCATGGCAAATCTGACCAACATTTAGTTGATTGGAAGTTCAGTATTTCAAAGAGACTACTAAAATGGGCTGCCACTGTTTTATCTAATGGATTATATCTTCTGTAAGCATTAACATTCCTTTCAGCAAGGTAGAGTGAAGAAAACAAGTTGAATGTACGCTTTTCCTTGGGGGAGCTATTATTCTTCTTGTTTCAACATATATACCACCCTATAGTGCTAGAGGACTCTCTGGGCAGTTCATAACATTATTATGCAATGAACACTTTGCCCCACTCCCACCCCCAACAAGCTGGATACTCATTTTATTGATCTCGGAAGGATGGAAGGCTGAGTCAACCTTGGATTGGCTTCCTGAACTCGTTGGGATCGAACTCAAGTTGTGAGCAGAGGTTTTACTGCAGTACTGCAGTTTAACTACTGTGCCACGGGGACTCACTAGTCAAAATCTGCCTAGCAAGTTATCTTTCAGAAATATTGGAAGATTAATTGATGACATTAATTTATTTACCTTTTAATCTCGCTGTTGCATGTTGCTCAGTCGATTTGCTTGTTTCTCTGATGTTCTCAGGAGATATTCCTTTCTAAGAGACATACAAATGTGTGGTCTATATGGACAAAAGGGAAAAATGCAATACAATTTAGAATTAAAAGTTGCTAACATTGCAATATTGAGGTTCCCTTTTATTTGGTATGGTTATGGAAATTAATATGCATTGATGTAAACAAAATACATAATACTATTTAAAAAAAGGATGAGGGAATGAGGAACTGATTTTTTAAAAAAATCCTTATTTAGGTTTCTTCAGCGATGAGTATCTTCTGATGAGAGATTTGTGTTCTTTCACTATAGGTAACTTTGTGCTGTTTGTTGTACTGACTGGGGAGGGGGGCAATAGCAGGACGTAAAAGTTACAATTTAAGAGATAATTCAGCCTTCAGTTCTCAGCTAGTCTGTGAAAAAAGATCATCATATTGCTCAGTAATGACATTTTGTGTCTTTGTTACAAGTCTGGTCACTTCTCGGGAATCATTTCCATTTTGTGAATTAAGTTGTTGCAGGTGTTAAACAGATCCTGTGAAAACACAATCTTGAGCCTCTTTAAGTCCAAGAGTCTCCTTGGATGAATAATGACCTCTACATGCTTTTTAAAATGACTTGGCATATTGATTTTTTATACATGAAAGTTAGAAGAGTGGCTCTTGAGTAGACAATAACATGGGATAAAAGAGAATGAAGGAATAGTTGGATGAAACATAAAATATGTATACAGTGTATTTTAGCTCTGGAGATCAAGCAGCGAAAGAGATTCCAGAAATAAACACCACATATAATTAGATGTCTTGTGTGTTTATGAGAATGAATGAGAAACAGTTTTGTACATCATCTATCTTCTGTTCCTTGAGATGTCTTCAAAGATCTGCTTTAGTAATGCATTATATTAGTCACTTCCCTGCTTTTTATTTAATAAAACTCAAGCAACACACCATGCCTAATAGCTGTGTAACACAGGATAATTGTTTGTTGACTTATGCTTTTTGTCTTATGGGATCGCATTGTTACTGAACATCCATACTAGGAAGTAACTGTACAAAATAGGCTCAAATATGTTCTGGCTGTAGTGGATATAGAATAGGCAGAAGACTCATGTATGGGCAACACCTTCTGCCAACAACTCTATTGAATTATCTATCTGGAAGCCGCCTAGAGTGGTCACAAGACCAGATGGGCGGGGTATAAATAAAATAAATAAAATAAATAAACTGGCTGATCTCAGACCCATTAGCACAAGTAGCTTTGTTGGCAGAACTTCTGTGCTGGCTAAGTGCCAGATGGCAGAAGAGCCAATAAACATAAAAACCAAAACCAAAACAAACCAACACACACAGAGAGTGAGAGCAAGCAAGTGCTGGCTTAAGCAAGCGAGTGCTTAAACCAGACCCAAACATCTTCTAAATCATGGATTCAGTCACTATGGTGGCATAAAGGTTGGCCGTGGTCAGAGTTGTCCTAAGTAATATCCACTGTGAGTAGGGTGGGAGGGAATTTGATTCAGCACAGCTTCACCTGGCTTAGTGTCAACTCAGCCAGGTGTTGGTCATCTTGGCTAGTTAAATTTTGCTCTGTAAATTGTAATTAATTCAGCAGAATTAACTTCCAAGTAGAATCCAGCTAGGAGAATGCTAAAAGTTTATAGAATCTA